CGCCACAGAGGAACGACACCAACGCTGCAATTCCCAGATTATCTACGGATTACACGCCCACACGACTCTCGAGCCCACGCCTCAACCCATGCAATCCGCTGGCCGCATCTTGATGTATAGTCCGCCCTGACGCTGGCTTTGTCCTAGCTCTCCCCGTTTATTCCCATCGGCCGAAAGCAGAGTTACCCCAATCGTCTCCAATTGTTCCAGAAGCAAGCTCTCAAAACGTACGGCCACCGAAGCCCAGCGCCATCCATCTGGATATCGATTCCCAGACGCAACAGGCTACCAGCACCGGCCGATTCGCCTCCCATTCTACTTTACAACCCAACGGTACAATACACCGTCGTTCTCGGATCTGGCACCTGTTGTTCCCCGTTCAAAATTATTATCCCAGGTCTCAAACGTGTGTAGACAGCAGGACACCACCCTGCTCTCCACGCCCGCAGCCTCGTCAATACCCCGGGCAAACCTGGCAGGACGCCGCGGAACAACCCAGTCGCAACGAGATTCGCCCCGTTTTGTAACTGTCATTGCTTGTGCAGCATGCATTGCGGCTTCAATTGCACACCACGTATATTGAGCAAACGTCGCCCAATGCGATCACGAGCATCAGGACCTTGTCGTGTGACACAAGACTAATCAACCCACGTCTTCTACATTTGCGACCATTCGGTTTAAGCATATCTTGTACCTGCGGAGAGCGTTCTACCAGACGTCATTTTCTCTCTCGTCCTTACACGCTGCTTTTTCGATACTTAGATCCAACATTGTTTTACAACTCCTACGTTACGCAGGGGCCGCAATTCATAGCATTGTTTCCAGTGCCTTGGCAGCCACGAACTCTCTTTTTGAGTATCTCAACATCAGCCTTCATCACAACACATAACACATCACATTGGGCACCCCCTGGGCAACATCTATACCCCTTATTGTCCCGGCCTTTGCTACGCACCAATTGCCATATCTGCTATAGCTTTTACGGGAATTACCGCCTTACTGCCGACCCGATTTGTTTGTTTTGGCTTTCGTCCGTTTAATTGCAGCCCTTTATTCCCTGAGCATCACACCTATTATCACCGGAAACAAGCTTTCGCTGGAGACAGGCCTGGTGGCCACCCTTCCCCAGGGCTTTATTTTTCTTGACAACGCACCTTATCTCTTCTATCGCGGTACACACTTTCGTTTGGGAAACAATACCCCTCACCAGAACATCCCCGGGCTCTCTCCGAAGACGTTCCGGTTGATATTCCCGTCCCGTCCAACGGGCGCATTGGCCCACCCACCTTTCACCAGCCGTTTCTGGTTATCGGTCCCGCGCGGGTCCACATCGAAACCTTACACTGCCTTCGCTCGTCGAGTTATTACGGTTGACTCGACATCAGGGCCACACTGGTGCGCACCTGCGAAGACGAAAGCAGCTGCGGAGTGGGTCACTGGGGTACGGTGATACTGCCATTGCTGTGCTGCACTTCTAGAGGGTGCAAAGCAATCCGTCCACCAACCCTTCCTTCTTCTTCTTGGCTCTACGACCGCCCAATGTCGCCATTGCCGGCTTCAGCCCTACGGAGTCTCTGGAGATGAAGCGCACACCAAACTATTACGACGGGTATGCAGGGCTGAACCCGACCAGCGGCCCCATCGGCGATACAGTCTATGCCGCTGGCCCTACAGGCTATGGTGGTTACGAAGCTGAACAACAGCTACCACAACACCCACACCAGCCACACCACCAACAGCAGCATCCGCAGCCATATGGTCTTGGCAACAACGACATAGGCAGCCCCACTAAGCGAAAAGCTGATCATACCATCTACCGGGAGCAGGACATGCGTCTTGGCACGCCGGCGGCCGAAGAAGCCGATGGCGACTACGAGTACGACATGAACACATACGGAGCCAGCCGGAGCCGCAACGACGGTGGCTTGAGTGCCGGCGAATACGGAGATATGTCGGACCTGGCCACCGTCCGCCCACAGAACCGCAGCGGCAAGGACGTGCGGATGGTCATCAACAACCACTCCAACATAAACGTGCCCCTCGACCAGAGTGCAGGCAGCAGCGTGACCAGCAATGAGTATGCACCACCCACGCCAAGCGGAGACGCGGCCACGTACGAAGGCTACTCCATTGGCGGTGCGGCCGGCAGTGTGGAGAGCCCGCCTGATGACCAAAAGGGTGCCGGTAGCATCAACTCCAATCCGAACAGCAACACGGCGAGCTCACCGACGGATTTGTCAAGAAAGAAGCAAAAGCGCAACAAGCCCACATTGTCATGCTCTGAGTGTGTGGAGCGTAAAACAAAGGTATTTATGTAATGTCCAAAACTTATTCTCTCTCACAGGGTCACAGCTAACAACGGCAAGTGCGACCGCGGTCGGCCCCATTGCTTGTCTTGTATAAAGCGCCAGACTGAATGCAAATATGCCCATGTTGCAAACCTGTTAGAGTGTGTACAGCCCTTTGGAATCCTTTGGAATGACTGGCTCTTCCATTCACACAAGAAAACTAACCACCATTAGGGAAACAAGCAGAACAGCGGCGGCAGCTGGTGGTCGCCGAGTAACGCGGCCACTTTTGTCCAAGAAAGTGCCGGGCTCGTTCAGCTCGCTTTCCATCCCGAACATTGCCGATCGAGGCATCCTCAACGCCCACGTCGAGTCCCTGGGTTCGGTGGCTCTCTCTACTGGGCTTTTGTCCAATGTACCCTACTCGGTACCCTCAGCCTCAAACGTCTTTGGCATTGGATCCGAACACCCATTCGCCAACTACTGGACGTGTGAAGGCGGTCTGCCCGAAGTGATTTCTGTGCTGCCGGACAAGATTCAGTCGGATATCCTACTCGTCCGGTACTTTGAGTGCTTCGACCCGGTCTACCCGATGATTGACCGGCACTACTTTTACACGGAATTTGAAAACTTCTGGGCCTTGGCGCCCGAGGACAAGAATATGGTTGACCCGGCGTTCATTGGTCTCCTCTTTGCCATGCTGGCTCTGGGCACGCAATTCGTCTCGTCCACAACACCCAAAGAGCGGAAGCAGACGGCCGAGTTCTATGCGTCGGCCAGTAACCAGGCTCTGCGCCTGAGCTCGTACCTCAGCGCTGCATCAGTCCGCTCGATCCAGGCCATGGTCCTAATCACGTACTTTTTGATCAACGACAACCACGCGTCCGACGGATGGGCGTTTGCGGGCATCCTCATGCGCCAGGCGTACGCCATGGGCCTGCACCGGGACCCAAACATTGTGGTTCCGAATGCAAGCCCATACGAAAAGCAGCGGCGACGGAAAGTGTGGCAGGCGGTCCTGCTCCAGGACACGTTCATGACGGTGCTTATGTCGCTCCCACCGACGGCGACACACACGGATGTCAACGTCGAGGACCTCGAGGAGGAAGACGACATTGGATCGAACAACCAGAACAGCGTGACTGACACGGCGTATATTCGCGGATCATGGACGCTCGCCAATCTCGTGCAGGAGGTGATCAGCAGCCCGCGCTCGTTGGACGTACCCATCTGCACGACGTCACGCCACAAGTCTAAGATGGTGTCGGACTTCCGAGCCATCTACCGCAGCTTCCCAGACATCTTCCGCAGCTGGGACCCAGAGTCGGTGACGCAGCTGGCCAAGACGAACAAGCGGGTGGTCCGACAAACATTGTTTCTGAGCAGCAACTACTTTCATAACCTGATGCTGGTGCACGCCTCGGAGTCGGCCGACGTGCCGGTGAACGTGCGGGGCACCCTGGAGGCGGCACATGACGCCATTACGTCCTTTTTTGTTCTCTTCAAGTTGTTTGAGAACGAAGCTGGCGTCTGGTGGGTGTTCAACCACCGGGCGTTCTTGGAGGCGCTGTGCATCGGCGGCGTGCTCAAAGAGACCGTCTTTAAGAACAGCGGCGATCCGGTGGCCACGGCCAAGGACCCGCTGTACGCGCGCGCTCGTGCCGATATTGGTAAGTTTACAGATATTAGAAACGGCGGAGACCCGAGGTGACAGAGCTTCCATTCGTCTATAAATCCTTTTATTTATTATTTTACAGCATGCTAACAATGACAGAAAAAATGGTGGAGATTATGCGCATCATGGGCGAAGGTGAGCAGGGCTCCGAAGTCGCCAGGACACGCGTCAAGGTTCTCAGCGAGTTTTTGTAACGCAAAACTCTAGTACGGACATGTGGATGATCCACCGTACTCTGGACTTTGTTGGCCTGCCTCACTCTCGTCCCTTTATTGTCTGCGTTTTATGTTTTATGTGGCTTTGTCTTGGATCCAGCATCTATGGGTGGTCGTTTGATTTCATGCTTGTCTTTTGTCCGCTGTTTTCGTTTCAGCATCTTGGCCCGATACCTTGGAATAATACTTGCTTTATTGTACATCTGGTCTCTGCAATGGCTCTGGTTTGAATGGTATATGAATGTGCTGTAAAATATTTTCAAGGCTATTTTTTGAATTTATTCCCATGAAGGGCATTATTTTTTTAGTTTTATATATATATATATAAATGTTGCCGAATTCACCAGAGTCGACTTTCATTTTGATTGACAGCGTAAACCCCCATAAAACGTAGCATTTTACTTCCTTCCACATAGTTGCTTGTGATAAGAACCTTTGATATGTTTCTGAATATATGTATGTTCGTCTTAGAAACTTCTATTGCAGTGTAATTGAGTCGGAACAAGGCCGTGCTATTTTCTTTAGTCCGATTTAATAAGTGTACCCGTACACACGCCTCGCCTCCTTAGTTTTCGACGGCCTAAATCTTACCATAGATTCAGCTTTCTTACTTAACGTCCAAATATATTCCAAGGATCGTTTGTTGACTGTTTTCCTATGATGTCGGTGCCAACCACAGAAAACATGTCGTTCGATTAAGCCACGTGAGCACTCACTCCCGAGAGCCTCATCCAATTCAGCCCCCGAAAACGATTGGACCGTCTAAGAAACCTTTTTGCTTTTCTTCCTCGCAATCCCTCACACACATCGGCAACCGACAAGATGAGCTTGTATGAATATCACAAGCGGCAGGACCGGCCACGACCAGGCCACTTTCCTTACTATGTTGGCCGTACCTTTACTATCCGGCGCCATTGGGCGCCACCGCCATTTAAAAATAAGTATGCATTCGCCAATGGAATGCGGCAACATCATGATTACAGCCGGGGACCTCTGGGACTCACGAAACTCGAACGATGCCTGCGACACCCACCGCAAGAGTGGCCTCTAGACGAAGAAGGCGAAGCAGAGGAGGGCGGAGACGAGGATGGCAATAATGCAGGTCAAGATGAAGGTCAAGACGGAGGTCAAGATGCAGACGCGGTGTTTGACCGGGACGGGGTATACACACTGGAGATTGTCGAGGAGATTGTCGCTCGCGACGGCCATGGCGCCCAGATTCTTCGCTGCCGCGTGGAAAGCGTCCATAGCTCCGACAAGCCCGCACCCGAATCCCATTTTGTCGCCAAAATCTACGATGCAGCCTACTACCGAGACGACTCCGACTGGTTTGGTGACTTATCGTTCGACGCGGACGGGGACTATGCGTCCGAAGTACATGCGTACGAGCATCTGTGCACGGTAGGCGCCAATGGTCGGTACACGCCGCGGTATTATGGCTCGTGGACATTTGACTTGCCGGTGCCGCCGAAGGAAGAAGACGTGAGCTCGGGTTTGGACTCCGGCCCAATGCCGCTTCCAGGCTTTTTCCCAGGCTACGTCCGGGGCATGGTCCTGGACTCAGGCTCAGACTCTGACCGCCCCCGCCCAGCGACGCGTTCTGTGCGCCTTATCATCATCGAGTACCTCGCTGGCAGCAGCATGTATGCCATGCTGGTCAAGGGCGTTGTTGACGCAATGCCCATTCCGCGACGCCTGGAGGTGATGGCGAAGACGATGGAGAGTCTCTGCCAGGTCGAGTTTCTAGGGATCGAGCACAAGGACTTTGAGCCCCGCAATGGCGTCCTTCTTGATGCTGCCCCCAAGACGAACGGGCCCTCGACACCTCCGGCACCGCCAAACACAATCACAGACGAAGACAACGACAACGACGTGCGAAACATTGTCATCATCGACTTTAACCACTCGTACGTTGTCAACTCGCGCTGGCTGGCGGATAGGTGGCGACGAGATCGGCAGAACGAGGTGCGCTGCCCCATGCACCGATTCTGGCGCCGGTCGCAAGAGCAGTTTGCGGCGTGGATACCACACGTCTACCACATGCGCCTACCGGTGTTCAACGGCTGGCTCAAGCACCGCTGGGCCAGCCAGGTCGACCGCTATTACACGCCTTCGCCAAGAGAGCGTTATTATAGCGGCCTCGACGACGCCACCGAGTACATTCCTCCCGAGTCGATAACCTTGCCTGAGACCCGGATTCCCGGTAGAATTCTCCACTCGTTTGACCCAGATTATGGAAAGGAGCCACTGGATTATAAAAAATATGTAAAGGAGAAGTTTCGAAGTATGGGCGGAGGTAGTGCATAACTCCGTATAAAGGACGAACACCAGACCGGAGTTCGCGGGCTGTGATTTGTTGTCGTATATTGGAGAGAAGACGAACGGCGGCGATGGACGTTGGGAGAGTGGAGAGTTGTGTTGTATCATGCCACGGTTTTGTTTCGAAGATTGTGGGAGTTTGCGAAGCCGATGTAAAGCAATGGCGTCGCAAAAGTAACTGGGCTGGAATCTAGCTGTTAGCAACGCTCTTCTGAAGAGACCAATCAGTTTGCAGCTGGCGGCGTGTCCCGCCTGCACCGACATCGCTAATCAAACATCTGCCAACGCTGACAACAAACATACGCAATTGCTCAAATCGTAAGCGACTTCAACCGCCGACAATCCGCAACCCACGTCAAGTACTACAATTGGCACACAGAGTCGAAGCCGTCTTTGCGCATCCCTCGTCCGCGCAATGCTGATTCGCACGCCTCAGGCCGCGGCGTCGCCAACGGCGCTCGCCGCACCCGCCACGACAGCCGCTGCGCCGTGGCGCGCCCTCTTTGTCCAGCACCTGGGACAGATGCCCATGCCGCTGTGTGCGGTCAGCACGCTGCACAGGACGGGCGATGCGGTGACCCCTCGCGTGCGCAACTGCGTCTGCCGTGGCCTCTGGGCGTCGCTGCCGGCCAACGCAAAGAACCCGGCGCCGCGCAACCCAGCCATCTACGAGAGCGACCTGCCCGTGTTTACGACAGACGCACGCATGGCCAAGGCCGGTGAGATTGGGCTGGATGGCGGTGGGGCTGTCGAAGCGGTGTGGTGGGCGCCCGAGGCCGGCACGCAATGGCGGGTGCGCGGGACGGCGTGGGTGCTGGGACCGGAGGTGGAGACGCCGACGGGGGCGGCCACACGGGCGGCCATCCAAAAGCACATGCGGCGTAGCATTTCGGACCGTGGCCGAAGTGCGCCTGCAGCGACCGCGGCCACCGCGGCCACTGGCACCTCCGCCTCCTCTTGGAGCTGGTCCCGCGAGATCACGGCACACTTTGGCAACCTGAGCCCTGGGATGCGCGGCAGCTTCCGCAACCCACCGCCCGGCCAGCCCCGGCCGCCGCGCGGCGAGGCCGGCAACACACACCCTGGCGAGGGTCTGGGTGACCCGGTGGGCGATGACCACCTCGACGACCCGGCGGCGCGGGCCAACTTCCGTGTGTGCGTGATTGTGCCCGACGAAGTCGACCAGGTGGACCTGTCCAGGGGGGACGACCCGCGGCGGTGGCAGTACACCTACGTGGGCGAAGACGGCGACGCGCCGGACGGGGCAGACGTCATCAACGGCTGGGCCAAGCAGGAGCTGTGGCCTTAGCAAAGAGCGGCGCTGTCCTCTGGGCTCGGGGCAGAACGGGATCGGCTTGTTGTGATCCTTGTCAACATACCCGTGGTACGATGATGGGCGTCGGAGCGCACAGAGTACGGAGTGCAGCGCTCAGAGCCGTACTCACAGAGCAGGTGCAACCGTGCGGAGTTTGCCGTTCGCACAATGGAAACCTGAGTGCGAGTTGAACGCAATCGGCGCATGCTCCTGTATTGTTGAGTATTCCTGAGTACCCGGTGGATGCGGCACAACTGCGGTGCCACTCCGCCCAACGTACCCTCAAAACAGCCTCGCCACTACCCCTGGTTTCTATTGGTTCCTGCTTGTGTCCATGAGCGAACTTGCAAAGGATCACTGTTCGACATTGTCCGCAGACGGGCAAGGTCTAATGACCCGTTTCATGTGGATGGGTTCGTTTCGATGCCTTATGTGTCTCCCTTACGTGGCCTTGTGTATTCTTTCTGGGGATTGTGCATCGATGCGCGGGACATGCACAGACATGGACTTGTGAGGTTGAATATCGACAACATGCAAGTCATCGTGAAGCGGGCAAATCAGATTGCAAGAGAATCAAAAACACGGTTATGAATTACGAAATAAAAACGAAAATGTAGCAACTCCTGTCGACCGTTGGGAAATGTAAAACCTGGAGAAAAGGCGCCTACCCGAAACCGTTGAGTGGCATAAACTGGGGAAACAAGGTGAGTGAAATAGTGTATGAAAGGAAGCGTTTTACCTAATGGATAGGTCGATGGTATCGCGCTATGACAACAATAAACAAGGTACAGTGGTTTTGGCGAACGACTAATTCGTAGGTCGACTGTTGGACCAACCGTTGACAAATAAACTTTGATCGTTCTTTCTTTTCTTCTTCAGCGTCCTTACCGGTTCTCCAGACTCTGCCATGTGGTCCTCCCTTGCTTTGAGGGTTTTGCTATACGATGTACTCTTCCACCCGTGGCATCGTGACGTCTCACCACTCTGTTCGCCGAAGCCCAAGAGAGTTCATTCTTGATGCAGCCTGGCCGTATTTTGTACGAGCGAAATACGGTGTTGATAGACACGTTGTCATGCATAAACTACGCTCATGTCCGAATGCGTATGCTGCTCATGCCTGTACCACGAAAGTACGATGTATGTTGTACACTCCACAGAGATGGCGCTGCGCTACGATCGGGCACACCTTGAGACGAGTTTTGGCTCTGTTTTTCGGAATCTGCAATCTGTCTTTCGTGTTGCGCGCCACCACACATACTTTGCAAGCGTCCACACCATCATTTCGAGCGAACCCCCCTTCTTTCGGATCCTTCGAAGCACGATCGAAGCAAAAGAAGGACGCCGCAACAGCCAAGGAAACATTTTTGGAGATCAAAGAGAAATGAGGTTGGTGGTGGTGTTGGCTGTTGGCTATGCAATCCTTTCGTACATAGGTTCCTTACTAGAACAGGAAGCCCAACTAATTGCCCAACTAATTCGTCACGGGCAAAACAGGGGAGAAAAAGCGCGCAGCGTAACCAAGCTGGTCTTTGCAGGAGACAGAAGATGTTTCTGATCTGGCTCACCGAGCTAGCTCGTATGGCAAGATATGGCAAGCTAGCCCACATGACGATTTGCTTGTCTGTTGAATGGCCAAGTTCAACACTCTCTCCGCTTCGTTCTGTCTTTTCGTCTACTTTGTAAGAGACAGCACAACATGTCCCGAGACGCATGGGGTGTCCTTCCTTTGTTTCCCGTGCCCGCTCCCTCCTCTTTCCGGCAGCCCAGTCTGCCCAGCCTGCCCAGCCTCCTGCAAAATGCAACGCAACCCTCCCCGGCGTCTGTGGGGAGAACTAGGACGAAAGCTCGTCATCAAAACTACTGAAAATGGAAACGAAATGAGCAGGCCGTCCACTCCACACCCTGTCCCAGATTCGCCAGGTGGCCGTGTCCCATCCGTCCGTCTGTGTGTGCCCACGGATCGATGATCGTTTCCTTTCCTCGTCATTTTGCTGAGGATTGAGCATTCTGGCCGTATCGACCTCAGCGGCATCACTGTGATCAACATGGGCAATGTGTGGGCGGCATGTGGCCTGGCTAGAAATAACCACTGGAAGGCGAGTGAGGAGAGAAGGCCCTGTGTCCCCCAGCCATTTCGTGCATGTGCCACCGACAGGAGCGACCAGTGAAAAGAAGCGCCACATTCGAGGCGCGAAACAGCGGTCAGAGAGCTTGAGGGCTAGAAAGGGCCAAAGAGCCCACTGTCGTGCTCTGCTAGGCTGCAGCACACTACGCCATGCCGAGTAATGAATGCGTTCCTTTAGCGGAACAACGCGCGCGAATTCAATGCTCGTCTCCCCTGGGCCACGGTGCAAGAACAGTGCTTCTGCTCAGTGTTTACACTGACTGACCATTTTGCTGCTGGTCCTGTCGCGTGCCTCATTCCTTCATTGGGACAGCAATCCCTCGGCCAGCATCTCTCATACTCGCTGAAGCCGTTGATTCTCACTGCTCGACCATCTGTGCTGTCGACCTCGAGCACCGAGTCTGCCAAGTCGTACACGTCGTATTTGTGAGTGTTTGGAGACACCATATGTCAAATATCGCTATTGGTATCGATAGGCGGCGGTGCCTGACGACGGACATGAACACAAAGTTCAGGCTCCGAGACATTGTCCTACACACCGTCATGTCTTCTCCCCTTTTCTTGTCTGAGGTTCCTCTTCTGAATTTCCCCACAGCCGTGTGTTCAACTCCCTTGACGGCCTTGTGTAAGTCCCGAGAGGGAGAGCCTTCATGTGTCCATCTCTGACTTCATGTCTGCGTCCAACAAACCATTGTCGACCGCGCTCTATGACTATCCATGAAGCCCCTTTTTCATGACGATCGACTACAAGTGTCTGAAGCTGCCGTCATTGCGGAATGGACAAAGTGTTCCTGCGGCATTGCGACGTAATGATGCTCCGTAGCTTCCCACATGCTTGATGACCACCCCAACCACATAAATTGGGACCCTTGCTCCGAGACACTGAAGAGTGGACTGCGGGAGCGACAGAGAGAAGGGAGACGCTTTGCAGCAAAATATACGATTTACATTGTAGCAATGACTTGCATATGCAAACACTGTCACTGACCGCTGTCGTCCCACCGACCGCTACTTTTAATCGAGTGCTATGGCCTGGCTCAGCGCCTGCGCCATGTGATACTGCCGATGTGGCCTTGGCGTTGGGCAGATAAAAAGGTACCCAGAAATCACGAGATAAGATGCACCATATTGTATCTTGGCTGATTCGTGAGACAATTGGGCTGAAGGAACAGAGTACCTCGACTTTCATGTGCGTTATCTTGGGAAGGCCAGGGGCTCTTAGGCGATTGACACCTGCCTTTTTAGTTGCTTGTTATTCCCTGTTGGGCAGTGGCAGGTGCGCCACAGTGTCCATGTCCCCATTTCCTACAGCTTTCCGATAGAGCACGTTCACCAGCACTGTCAAGGCATACCCGTGCTCAAAAATGCCGCGCAAGACAACTAAGGCCCGCGGCCGTATTTTGTGCTCCCGTTGCAAGACACCCACCCTTTGGCAAACCGTGGAGAGTCACTTGTCTCTGCGCAGACCAGAGCATTATTGCTACGACCTCGCACCCATATGATTCGCTACCTATCAAGCTCAAAGCGTTGCGCAAGGGACGTTTTTAGCACACTGGCTCGGCGCAGTTAGCACGCCAATTCAGCACAATGGCCAGGCCAGGCCTGGCGCCTGTCAGTCTCCAAGAGGACGCCGCGCCGCGCCGCCCTAAACCTGTAGCGCAGAAAGAGAAAGGGGGGGCTGGCAGAGAATTGGCAGACACGTGTCAATCGGAATGCTATCTGCGAGCCAACACGACTCGCAAGGAAATTGCGGCAAATTAGCATCGCCTTTTCCTCCTCCCTTTCCTTCGCCGAACACCCCAAGTCGCCGTGGAGCGGTCCGTCAATAGCCACATTTTGCTTCTTGCTCATTCCATTCCCTCGGTACAGAGTAGTGTGGCATTGCCGTGCTCTGCAATACGTCGTGACGCCGTAGGACAAAACATACGCAAGACGGCCGTGGACGCGTACAACATATTAATTACCACTCTCTTTCCCCGTTTAAAGCAACCGTCTGCTGGGTATGTTTGCCTTTACTCCTTTTGGGTCTCTTCCAGGTAGTGTTGTATTTCGCTATCAGCATTTGTGCGTGCACGCTTGCTTGGTTCCGCACCTGCTACAACGGCGTTCCTACGGTAGTTTCTCCTTCAAATACTGGGACCATCTTGGCTATTGTTGTCCACTACGGCTGTCACTATTGGCCTGCCCTGGAGCTAGGCATTTGGTAAGATAGCAAATTCACCCACTAAGGAGTAGGTGGAGACATTGTCTGTTCACAGAGATTGGAGCACTCTGATGATTGGAATCACTGGCCACATTGCCTGCCGAGGGATTTGTACGGAGTACTTCTCCATATCCGCTCGGTCCCGTCCTGCGGCCCAGCAAGTCAAGTCAGCCCCATGCATCCTTTCGTCCTGGATCCAAGCGATTTAAATAGCTTTACCAGCTCCAGCCCGCCCAGAACCAATATATCGCCTTTTACGGAGTACCTTTAAACTAATACGGGAGTACTATGCAAGTTATCGATGCCGTCTGCTGAGTCAATACGACATATTGCATTGTAAATAATGGTATACTTGTATCCGTGAATCCCCAGAGAAGACAAACAGGGGAACAGAGCGCAGCCGCTCGAGACCAGGAAAACGAGTGACCAGCCCTGTGATGGGGAAATAGCCAGCCAATCCAAAGCTCTGGACCTCGGACTTGGACTGTGCCCTTGCCTCCTGAGACTCGGTATGCTTATCTTTTCTTTCTGAAAAGTACGACATACACCGCACTTTGTTGCAACGCGCCCACGCTCTCCTGCGTAGTCCTGGTTCTGCGAAAACAATCGTGCAAACCACGCACAACAAGACGTACTTCGTACGGAGCCGTCATACCGCCTCTTTGGTGCAGCCTGTATTTTAAGTACTGTAAGTATTTAAATAAACACTGTATGTCGTAACTTGTCCCGTATTCATACCCAGAAGATAGCTTCCTACGGATATAGGCAGTAGCGCAGAATCCTGCCTCGCCACTCCGTGGCACTACAGCCACCCCTCTGTTATCTCCTTGCCACTTGCTCCTGGTTCCTCCAATTTTTCTTCCTGCGCCAGCCTTTCCTGGGCCTCCCAGTTTACAGCAGGACACCCCTGGTCGCGCCTGCCTTTACCACCCTCGAACCTTCCTGTCAAAGCCATTGTTTGTCTTTTACGTCGCAGTGCCTCGTTGTACCTGCCCAATGCTCCTGCTCGTGTCCCAAATCACGCACTCAGTCGCTCCTTCCTTCACTCGGTCCTGCCAAAGACGAAACGTGCAGTCACTCCACGCAGTCTCTATCTCATCACCTCCTTCCCTCTTTGTCCATCTTTTTATGGCCCCTTTTCCTCTTGCAATTTGCCGGCTTCATTTCTCCCTGCTCTTCATCTTTGTCTGGTCGCTCTCTTCTCAATCCATCGATCGTGCAACCCTGTCGCCTTGTGCAAATCCGTTTTAACCGCCATCGACGCCGGCGCACAGAAGAAACAAGGCCAGGGCCGCCCAACACACCCTTGTCGACACGCCCATATGTTGTACATGCGCACATACGAATGTACCAGCACGTTCAACCGCACGCCCCTCACTCTCCCATTCTCCACCTTTCAACGTTGATCCTCAACTCTTTGCTGGGTTTGCCGCCTCTCCGATCTGGTAACGGAGAGTCAGCAGTTACATTCTTGACCCTGGCATTGGCCCTTGGCAATTGACCCTGTTATCTCTCGTCTGCTCTGGGGGTGTTGGCTCGCTGCTTTTTCTATTTCCTGTTGTCTGCCTCTGCGTATCATAGTCTCGCTATTTCACGCTTGCGCTTGTGATATCTACGGAGTATCTCATTTTTACCTTGCCTTTTTTGTCAATTTTCTTTTTTCTCCTTTTCCTCGGTTTTGCTTTCCACTCTTTTAACCCTGTCTCCTCGCCTCAATTACTTCGACGTATCTCTTTCCATCCTGTACATCCTTTTCAACAAGCGTACGGGGAACACAGCAACCTACATCGCCAGAAACAACGTTTGCCCAACGCGATCCTCGCATTGAACTTTTACACCTCAACTAATTTCCAGCCTTATTGCGACATACACCTACTTTATCGGCTGTGCTGCTGCCGCGCTGCTCACTCTCAACTCCACTGCCTTTTCTGCAGCACCGCACTCCCCACAATCTACAGCAACCTACATACACTGCACCAGAAAACCGAGGCAACAAGTGAAAAACCACTCAACAGACGACCTTCAAGGACGCAAAAAAGGAAAACCGCAACGCGAACCGACGTTCACAAAACGAACACCTTGCTTTTTACCCGGGATTCGGACTGTTACGAGCCGCAAAGTAATCGAGTCCAGTTGCACCAAAATCTTTGCTGGGACATTGTCCGCGCTTTCGGTTTTCTTCTTCCCCCTCTCCAGCCACAAAATCAGTCACCACGGATTCCTCGATATCACCACGTAGGGGACGACGAATAAAAGGTGGCAACAGCAATATTCTGTTCAGCCTCAGATTTACCATTGCTGCCCCGCCAGCTACTGCGACACCCTACCCGCTCGCCCCTCCAGAGGGAGGTGGACGGGACGGACAGAAGTAATAGACGCGAGTCGACGACCTCGCAACGAACTCGTACCGACCGCACAGCGGACCTTGCTACGAACTCTCGTGACGAGCATCCGCAACCATGGGCCTTTATTCAGATCCCCCGCCCATGATGGCCTTTGCAGAGGTCAAGCCCACCTTGCTCGTCTGCTGGTGGAGCACCGTCTTCTGCCTCACCATCATCCTCCTCCGCATCGCCGGTCGCTTCATCCGCTCTGAGCGGCTGTTTATAGAGGACCGTGTCGTGTCCTTGGCCATCATCCCGCTCTTCATTCGCATGGGCTGCGTTCACGTCATTCTCATCTACGGCACCAACAATGTTGCACTCGATAGTTTCGAGCTTTCAGAGGTGAACCTCCACCGCCGTGCTGTGGGTAGCGGCCTCGTCCTTGCCAGTCGCGTCTTCCACGCCGCAACGTACGTTTATGTGCCTCCCATGCAAGCTGCAAGCTACGCCGCCAGGCTTCATGCCTATGCTAACACACCTAGTTTATGGATCTTCAAGATCGCCATTCTCGAGTTCTTCAAGCGTATCAGTGATGCATTGTCAGAACGCTTCTCACAAGTCGCTCTCATCGCTATTCGCTGCTTCCTCGTCGTTACCTTTATTGCTGTCGTTGTCAGCGACCTGTCCGAGTGCCATCCTTTTGTGCACTATTGGCAGGTCGCCCCAGACCCGGGCGGCCAATGTCGCCAGGGCTTTGCCCAGCTGCTGACCATGTCTGTCTGCAACGTCTTCACAGACCTCCTGCTGGTCCTTTTCCCCGTCCCGTTCATCTTCTTCAGCCACCAGTCCGTCAAGCGCAAGGTCCAGCTCATCCTCCTTTTCTCACTCAGCCTGGGCGTCGTCGGCATCACGATTTATCGCGCCACCCGTGTCATCCAGGCGCACGGCAACCAGCAGCTGCGCTCCCTGCTCGCTTCTGTCGAGCTTCTCTTTGCCACCGCGGCCGCCAACTCACTTGTTCTGGGCTCTTTTGTCCGTGACCGCGGTGTCAAAAAGAACAAGTTCCGTGCAGGGTCCGTCGTCGACTCCATGGAGCGCTCCAGCGTCGTTCGCTCCCGCCGCCCAACGGCTAATCGCCATTGGGGCAGCGACGAAGACCTCGTGCGCGATCTGGGCCTTGGAGTCCAGCCCGAGCTGCGCGACGCCCCCGACTCGTTTATTGGCGATGACATCATGTTTGGCTCACCGGGCGGACGTGCCGTCCGGCCTGCGCCCATCCTTAAAGTGGACGGCTCGGCCGTCGACCCGCTGCATCAAGCCCACGACAATAGCGGCGAAGGCAGCAGCCACAGTGGCGGCGACAGCGGTGTCGGTCATGGCAACGGCCATGGCGCTGCGGGCGACTTTGGTTCGTGGCAGTTCCCCGAAAACAGGCGCCGTAGTGCCGCAACGAGCAGCGCTCAAAGTGCCCAGAGCGGTTTGAGCGGCCTCAGCGGCCAGAGCGACGACGATACGCTTCTGGCCCGGGACCCTCTGAGTCCCGCTTCGCGCAACAACTCGACATTCACGCCGCGCAAGGTGGCCTTCTTTGATGCAGGCAACCTCCTGGGCGGCGATGGTGGCAGCGGTGACAACGAATCTGAGCCCGATACGCCCCGGACCAGTACGGCCGGCGGCGTCCGCTCGCCGACCAGCATTGGTGGGGGCGTTATGCGCTCGTCCACGGACAGCATGCCGCCGTCGCCCGCCCATACGGCGAGTGGGCGTGGCTTCCGGCGCGGCTCGACAGCTCTGCTGCAAGATCTGGGTGGCCTGCTCGGGCCCCCGACCTCACGGAACCGGCAGCGATCCGATGTCCACTCTCCGACGCTCCAGACGCTACCCCAGGGTACGCCGATGCAAATGCCGCCGTCGCCTCTGTCCTCGTCGCAGTCGCCTACTCAGTCGGGTCATGCAACGCCATCCAACTTGGACAACCTGACGTTGATGGACCCAGGCGGCTTGCTCAGCCCGGGAACGCACCGCAGGGTGTAACGCATGACTTTTTCACTTCTTTTCTTCTTTTTTCTTTTCCTATCCGGAGTTTTCTTTTCACGACACCACCGTGGACATCCGCCTACGACTCGCTCGCGCGAACCCCATTTTTTTTCTTTGACTTTGTTTATGTGACACACGACCTTTTCTCTCGATACGAACTTCATGACGGAACCACGGAGCAGAGGCGGTGTTTGTTTTTCTGATGAGATCTTACTCTCTTAATTGTGTGTTGCTTGTATGGAGTACGGCAGCAGGACCCTATTTTGGTGGACCGCAGGCGCAACTGGGGGATCTTTGAGATCTTTTTATGATTTTGATTTGTGAGAAGAGAGCGTTGCTAGACACTGTTTTCATTGGTGCCTTGGCTGGCACTGATTTTGTCGATGATTGTGCGTGTCTGTTTTGGCGACTTATTATTATACCCCGGCCATTGATGCCCTGCGATCCAAATGCATTGGAATTTATCTTGACACTGAAAATGCCCTCTCATGTGAAGGATTATGCACGTCGAACGGCGAGTAAAGAGGATCGTAGATGCTATCGTGCTGTCCGCAGTATTGCCATTCACTTCGATGTCGATACAGATGTTGTCAGGATCGTGATTCTGGTTAGAGTGCGCGTGCCGTTGTCCTTCCTGGACCTTTTCTTTTATGAGCAAGTGCAGCATCCATATTGCATTGTTCTTAGCACTGGCCTCCCACACCCAAAGCCATATCGGAGGCCCATTCCGAACGCCGCTCAGACAAGGGTGCCTACCCGTCCATTTCCTTATTAACTTCACCTGCCGTGCTTGTCTCCCATCTGTATACTGTGTTTGGTTGCTTTGTCTGCTGCTATAATCATATGACAATATATCCGGCCAGTTTCCATAGCCGCCAGTTGAGTAATATGAGGGACAAATATAAATGCCAAAAAGAAGACTTCAAAAGAAGAGTGATCTGTTTCGACCGTAAACACGAGGAGAAGAAAAGTAAACCTCCTTGTATTAACACCCCGTCTGCTACTCCGATGGAAGAAGAAATGATAAAGAATGCCATGTAGCAAGAACCAACAAAAAATGACAAGGTAATAACGCCCTATGATAAACAAACATTCGAGAAACAAAGTTCCAAATAATCCAAACCATGCATGCCCACAAACAGCGGCGCCCACATACATCGCCCCCTCCTCCCCGGACGCATACAGTCTCCCTTTTGCTGTTGCCCGTTTTTTTACACGCACAACCGGTAGCTGGCATAGCGACCAGCCGTCTCGCTCGTCCGGATGATCTTGACGACCTGGCCGCGCTTCAGGCCAAGGTACCGCGCCACGGGATCCTTTTGCTGGATACGCGGCAGCTGCGTCTCCTTGAGGCGGTACCGCGCCAGCAGCGCCGTCTTCTCCTCCTTGCTGAGCACGACGTGCGTCGGCACCAGCTCGTGGTGGGTAATGTTGACCAGCAGGTCGTCCTGCATAAAGCACTCAATCTGTGTGTAATTCATCGTCGCGTTGATAACTTTGCGTGCCTGTGCACTCAGTGCGCCCTGCGTGACCATGATGCCGGCGCGGAAGCTGTGCTCGTCGCAGTGCTGCACAAAGCGCTTGATCTCCTTGACGCCGATCTGGGGCTCGGTCATGAACTCGACCCAGACCGTGCCGCACTCTTGTACCGGGTCGGGGCGGGCGGCCGTCGGTGGCGGCGTGTACTTTTTGATCATGGCGTCGGATGGCCGTGCGGAAAACTGCATCTTGCCGCGGCTGTGGCTCGTTAGCGTGCGGACGACTCAGGAACGTGGGACGCCAGCGGGATGAGACACGTACTCGGCCGTGCCGTCTGGCATGGTGAACTTGTTGACAAACTCGTCGAAGCTGATCTTGACCTCGTCCTCGGCCAGCTCGTAACCCTGTTCAGCGGCCCTCCTGTTAGCCCGACGTTTCTCTGACCGGCGGAATGCTGCTTCCAGCCGCCCGGCAACTGTGGGGAACCACGCACTCGGTCCTGGCACATCTCGTGAACCGTCCGCCAGGCCCGCCACAGCTTGCGCAGCTCACGCTGCTTGGCCGGGTCTTCCTCGCCGCCGCTTGGTGAGAAGGACATTGTGCCTGCGGTGCGTGATGCGTGCTGTGTGGTCGCGAGTTACTGGAGTCCTCCTGTGTATGGATCGTGATATCGCCGTTCTGCTCGTCGTCGCGGAGAGCTTTCGTCGGGGCGCGTATCACCGGCGCAAAAAAACGGAGTTTCGCGTTGCTCGTCGGAAAGGAACGCTGTGAGAAAACGCAACCGTGGCAGAGGAAGAGTGTCGCAGACAAAGGATGGCGACGCGGCGGTTGAGAAGTTGGAGATGGAAGCGTAAAAGCCTTTGTCGCTTTCCAATTGTTCGGTTGGCTCCTTCCCACCTTCGTTTGGCAGAAAAAAGTTTCGCCTGCAAAACTGCAGGCGGAAATAGACCCACTTTTGACGCCGCCTCCGACACGTGACTGTGAGCTTATCGGCTTCTTATCGAATCCACCACCCTGACAGGGCCCTTCCTTTTCAATTGCTCTTTTTTCAGTCTATTTTTGCCCAAGTTGGGCCCCACTAATACGGATTGGGTGCGCAGACCAGGCCAATCGACTTCGGTGGTTCCTTCCTTTTGGAATTTTTGACACGGGGTCCAAAACTTGAGCCAATTCCTCAGTTGGGAAAGAACCAAAAAAAAACCCAAAAATTAAGAACGTCTGTTGAAAAAGGGACACCTTTTGGCAACGGGTGACTTGCTGTCTTTCACACTTCTCTGCCTCCTTCCCCCTCTCCACACAGTACAAGTTGCTCAGTCACTCAGTAGAACGTAGAACAGCAGGAGCGACCGACCTTGGCCTATTCAGCCCATTTGTAGCGGAGGTGTTTATTTCGTTGCGTTTCTGTGCATTTGCGACTATTTTCGGTTTCGAGCCTTTTCTAGTTCCCTTCTCCCCTTTCTTCTTTGCCCCCCCCCCATTCCTCATCCATTCCGATCGGTAAACATTCCTGCGACACTGTCTCTTACGACCACGCGGGTAGCTTCGAGATCGGCACCTTCGTCACACGAAGTATTTTCGTCATCGTCCTCACGACCGCTTGCCGTCTCTTTTCCCTTCGCCGCCTCGACGAACCCTTGCCCAAAAGAAAAATGGCCGAAGCTGTGACTGCACCGGCAGCAGATTCTGCGCAGACTGCTGCTGCCCGGCCCCAGAAGCCCGATGAGGCGGCCTACCAGACGGCTCTGGAGAAGGCCGAGAAGGAGCACAAGGATGTGATGACTCGCTTCGTATGTCTCTTTTTTTTATTCCTTTTTTTTTGTTTCCTCTTCTGGAATTGGGTGATGCGGCGTGATTCTTTCCGTCCTCGGACCGATGCATGTGACACGTGTCCGTCGCAACGAATGTGCTCTGTCGTATGATGCTAACCCTCTTGCCCACCGCCTAGAACGCCGTCAAGGCCAAGATCGAGAATGTTCAGCCCAAGAAGGACGGCCCGCCGTCGCCCGCCCAGAAGCGCCGCCAGGAGCTCATCGCCCAGCTCAACGAGATCCGCCAGAAGCAGGCCGGTGGCAAGACTGCGCGCACATCGAAGCTTGACCAGATCAAGCGCCTCGACGAGCAGCTGCGCAGCCGCATTGCCGAGCAGAAGGCTGCCCGCGGCAAGGTCCCCTTCAAGTCGGTCGAGGATCTCGACAACCAGATCAGCCGGCTCGAGGAACAGGTGAACGGCGGCATGATGAAGCTGGTCGACGAGAAGAAGGCCCTGGCCGAGGTGACCAACCTTAAGAAGGTGCGCAAGAACTTTGCCGCGTTCGATGTCCAGGAGAAGCAGATCAGCGAGCTGCGCGCCAGCATCAAGCAGATCAAGGACAGCATGGACGACCCGGAGGCCAAGGCCCTGAGCGAGAAGTACAACGGTCTGCAGGCCGAGCTCGACGCGATCAAGGCCGAGCAGGACGGCGTCTACAAGAACCTCTCGAGCCTGCGCGACGAGCGCAGCAAGCTGCACAGCGAGCAGCGCGAGAAGTTTGACGCCATCCGCAAGATCAAGGACGAGTACTATGGCGCCAAGAAGGCGTTCGCTGCCTTTGAGCGCGAGGCCCGCAACAAGGCCTGGGAGCGCAAGCAGGCCGAGCGCGAGCGCTTCGACCGCGAGCGCAAGAAGGAGCGTGCCCAGCGCATGCTGGCAGAGGCCAGCGACCCGGCCTACCTCGACGAGATCCGCCGTGCCCGCAGCCTGCTGCACTTCTTCGACCCCTCGTCGACGCCCGCACCCGCTGCTGCTGCCGCCACCAACGGCTCGGGCTCTCTCGGCGCCCAGGCCACCCGCAAGGTCGACGACGCCGGCCTCAAGGGCACGCGCCTGGTGCGCAAGGAGGACCGCGAGGACGACTTCTACCTGCCTGCGGCCAAGAAGTCCGGCAAGAAGGGCGGCAAAAAGGAGGGTGCCGCTGCCAGCGGCAAGGGCTACAACGTGCCCCCATCTGTCATTGAGGACTGTGCTGCCATGGGCCTGAACCCCCCGGCCAGCGCCGCCGACGTTCCCGAGGTCATTGAGAAGGTCAAGGCCAAGTTGGCCCACTGGGAGGAGGACCAGGCCGCCCAGACAAAGCGGGTACGTTTATTTCTCTGTGGCCTTTGTTACTCTGTGGCCCTCTATCTGTGAAACCATTACTAACTTTCTGTAGAACATCGAAAAGGCCAGCAAGGAAATTGAGAAGCTCGAGAAGGAGGAGGAGGCGGCTACTTCTGGCGACAAGAAGGCCGACGACAAAGCCGTTGCCGAGGTCACCGCTGACCTCAAGGACAGCTCGCTCGATGAGAAGAAGGGTGAGGAGGCCAAGGAGGAGGCCAAGGAGGAGGCCACCGCATAGGGAGAGGAAGACAAGCAATAGAACCGACGGGGCCATTTTTATTAGGCTCCCGACCCAGTATCTCCTGGCCCATCTGTTCTACACACCCTTCATTCACTCTGCTTGCAAGCCTCTTCCCCCCCTATCCTTTCCTACGTTGTCTTTAAAAAGGTGTAATCGACCACCCCCCTTTTTTTGTTTACACCCCCTTTTGCTCTCTCCTCTTTTGCCCCACCAAAACCATATCTACTCTGCCACAAGCATAGCTTTTGTTTGTTTGCTTGTTGGCCTTTCTGTGTTTCAATGCATCCTGTTTTGTCAGCCACAATTTTTTTTCCCCAAAATATTTGATAACGAACTTTTCTTATTGTGTCTTCCTGTCTTCCCTGTCTTCCCTTTTGAGACTCGTCGTTTTTCTTGTCTCATCCTCTCCAGTTTGTTTCTAAACTACTTTTACGGGGGGGCTTTATATATCTGCATGGGCGCGTTTCAGCGAGATGGGATCATATAAAAGTTTTTGGCCATGGACCTACGAAATTATGTTGCAAGCCTCTATGCCTCTTTCTGATACCTTCAGGTACTACAAAAATAACCGTAGATGGTCACATAAATGTGTGGATATTATCCTAATATTACTTTTTGCATGTTTATGTCACCAAGATTTTCACAACCAATAATGGAGACTGCCAACAGGATAAGTCAAAGTACTAGTTTGGAGTGGCCTCTCGGAGAAAGTCCGCTAAACTCTATAAAAAAGGATGAATATAACGGAGACGGAATAAATAAGAGACAAATAATTGCCAAGACGTAGGGTAGAAAAGGTGCCATAAGATAAATTTTGGATGGTCTCGTTCTTTTGACCAATAAGTTGTACGCTCAAATGCTCCACTGGATACCTAGGACGACTCCAAGGAATAATAAAATAAATGGACAAAGAAGCGTGCCCTGGAAATAAGCAAGAAAGAAAAACAACAGCGCCTTCGCTTGCCATGATTCTAGACCAAAGGTGGCAGACAAGAAGATAATCAAAAAAAAGAGAGAGGTACAAGCAGAGACAGTTACAATAAGTAGGATCATTATTTCGTAAAGAGCGTTATGTGGAGTAAATGTAAGATAAGTAAAAGGGAGAGGGGGAATGGCGCATACGTTCTTCTTAGTAATGGGGCATGTAAGAGGGCGGTGGCTGTCGGAAGGCGGAGCGTGGCACGGGCACGGGCGTCCTGGGCGCCATGCGCTCCGAAGCCGGCGGTGGTGGCGGGGTCCGTCCGCGGATCTCTCTTGGGTGTCCGTACATGCTGATACGTTGCGGAGGGGGTACGGGCGGGGGAGCACCGATGCTCTCCACGCCGCTGGCGACTGTGGCAGGCGCGGCAGTTCGGCGGCCGGATTTTCGGGTTCCGGACAGAGCGCTGAGCGGCGGGTCGCGCACCATGGGATCGTCGTCGGATGGCAGGGTAAGGTTGACCAAGCTGTAGTAGTACCCGAGCACCTCTGGGTAGCGCTGGACGGACGACTGCCAATCCTCGTCAATACCGCGCTTGAAGGCCATCTGGGCCTGCTGGATTTCGCCGGGGTGCGGTTGTGTGTGGTAGTGGTATGCAATCCGCTTGATGCGGTCCATGTTTTGGTCGTGGGCCTTGAGTCGTCTTTCTTTGAGAAGCGCAAAGTAGTCGAGAATGTAGTCGCGTGCGTGTTCGCGAACCCATGTTCTATAGACGTTAGTGCCGCCGTTGAGAGAAGGAGATTGCAGTGACTGAGGAAAGACAAAGCCAGTGCGTACTTGATATCATCATATATGGACTGCATCATCTGCTTTTCGGCCTGTGATATGGCCAGCTCGAGACGTTGGGCCTCGCATTGGCAGGCGAAGTTGGCCGGCGCACCGCATATTGCGCAGTCGGGGTCCATTCTGATGAAGACCCTGTGAGGCTTTGGGTCGTGGTACTCTTGGGCATACATGATTTAGTAGACGGTCCAGGGAAGAGGTGGTAGACGAAGGAGGAGAGAATGCCCCGGGTGGAGCATGGGGTTGTGGAGTGGTGCCGGTAAAAGATCCGGGGGTGGCATGTGGAGGAAATGGGGTAGAGGCGCTTGTCGATGGGGGGTTGGAGGGTGGTCGTGAGCACAAAACCGATTTAGCAGAGAGAGTGCGACAGCGCACAACAAGAAGCCGCCGGCATAAAGGAAACGATCATGTCTTTCGTCGTTCTCTAGGTCTACAACTGGGCCAGCCAGGTAAACCAGGAGATGGGGTCATAACAGGGTTGTTGTGACAGAAATGGGTGTCACAAGCAAAGAGAGGTGGAAGCGAAGAACGGGAAGAGGAAATAGATCGGAGAAGCCATGGAAAGTAGGACAGAGGAGAGAAAATGAGAAATAGATGAGAAAGAGAGGAAAACGACAGGAGAAAGGCCTGAAATAGGAAAGGAAAGGAAACCAGACGTGCGGGTATGGTGTGTTGATATTTGGTTCATCGAGGGAATGCGGAGTCATGAGAGAAGATGGCAGAAGAGCGTCACTAACCTGGGGGTTGGGAGAGAAAGGGCTAGAATCACCACCCCACGAAAGTACAAGCGGATTTGTTTGAAAAAGTGAGGCGGCGTCAGGCGGAAATTCTGTGTGTTTACCTACATCCGTCAGTTTGCTTGATCTGTTTGGTTCAGTCCATCTCGCCATCTCCTGCCGCTGCTACCAAAGCCGCTAAAGCGACCACTTCTGTCTGAGCCTGGTGGTGGGCCGGACACAACTTTGACTGGTGATTTGACGTGAGGAGATAGTGTGCGCAAGCGGGACAAAGCACACGGAACCTCCTTGGTTCTTTCATTCTCTGGTGGTACTGGTAGCAACAACGCGCACATTGCGTGAAGGATGCGAGCTCCAGAACAAGAAGCGTACAGAGTAGCTCCAGGAGGATAGCAAGCCAAGATTTGTTGACGAGCAGAGAAGATGTGCGACTCTTGAGCCGGGACTTACAGGAGAGCTGGTCGTCGGCGTGGACAGAGATCTCCGGGGAAAGGACAAGTGAATCAGCAGCCCGGCGGTCCGGCGGCTTTATTCGGCACTTGTAGCTCGTGGAGGTGGAGCTTTGAGAGACGGCAGTGATGAAGCTCAGGTGGCGAGTATGGGCGCTGCTGAATAATTGAATTGTGTTTTCTGAGGCAAGATTAGTTGTCGAGGTTCGTATTACGAGCAGCTTGTAAGGGTGCCCATCACACAAGAACAAATTAAACGGATTGGAGGAAGGAGGCAAAGAAGAGCGTAGAACTGGCATATGGGGAAGTGTCCAGAGTGATGGCTAATTCAGAGTGTGTGTCTGTATTCTGTATGTTGTGCCTAGATAACCGGTCGCCTGCGGCATGCGTTGTGTCGTGGCTCGAGTACAAACGCATTCCTTCAGCAGGATACTACAGCACGCAAGTATCTGTGCCAGTGCCGATACCAGTCAAGACCGATACGTAGCAACGAACAGCAGAACCGCAGGTCGCGCCCAATGGCCACAGACGAGAGCGGAGCGTGACCTGCTGGCCCCAATGGCAGAACACTGGCCCGGCAGCTTCCAATGGATGGGGCAAGTTCGCCGTGCGGCAGGGTAGCAAAGGGAGAAGGGGGTGTCAGGGTCTGTTTATGGCGTTTGCTGATATGTAGTGTACGTGGCGTCCGTGGTGTGAGTCGGAAAGGGGGAAAGGGCGGCGAACTAGTGTCGATAGAGTCTGCTCGTGCTTTGCTCGGGGGCCATCAGAAGGCTGCTGATGCTGCTGGTGCTGCTTTGAGATGTAGGGGGAGAGTGCAGATGAGGAGACGAGACACTTGCATGAAGAGCACACACACATCGCCTTCGCACTCGCACTCACGCAATGATCATCCGCGGGTGGATGCACCACACGCACCACCACATGAACACAAACACGAATGCACAACGACACCGCGTGAGCCACGGGCGGGATGGGAGGCAGGGAGACAGGGAGACAGGTAAACAAACGCCTTGTAGCTCGCGTGTCAGCGTGTGACGCGTGTGAAAGCAGCTGCACGTCCTGGGCCAGTCGTTTGAGAAACAAAGAGGGCGATAGGTTCTGTGGACGAGGCTCGGACAGTAGTGTTCGGCGAGGTTGGAGGCGATGCGGCAGCAAGACGATCGAGAGAGGGCGTAGAAGAAAGAAGCAACGAACCAAGGGGAGAGCAATTGAGTTGCACAGCGGAGAGGCTGGGATGAGAACTCTATTAAGGCGTCCAGAAAGCGAGCCGAGGGCCTGCCAGCACTTTGTACGTAGAAAGCTGTGGAAACACCGGCAACAACACAATTTCGTAGGGGGGGCAAGAACAACAGAAAGGCGACAAAGACCAAAGGGAGGTGTGTACAGTAGCGAGAGAACAGCATAAAAGAATGGACTCACGCTCGACTTGAGGTCAAATCACACAGGTTCAAATTTCATAGAGGAGCTTGGGGGGGCTGGCGGAGAGAGTGCGGTGGGAGGTGGGAGGCACAGGAACCGGTGCACTGGTCTCGACAAAATTGACGGCGGCGACGGCGGCGACGGCGGCGGCGGCGGTCATAGTCGTGGCAGTCGACACGCAGATACGCTCAGGCTGGAAGGGTGAGAAAGCAACAGACTGACGGAGCCACAAGACAAAACGACGAGCAGAGCGGACGACAGCGAGGCGAATGCAGCTGTGCGGCCACAGAAAGTGGGTTAGGGCCAGACCAAGGGGCTAGAGGTGATTCGCTGCAGCCGTGGTTTCGAAGGGGGGACTGCTGCATGCAAGGTGCGAGACGGTTTGCGTTGGGCATGGAGCGGGTTGTGTCTGGAGTATTACAACATACAGATTGGGTGATTGTCGTTTTGTTTTTGTCTTCGTCTCGATTGCAGCAGCTGACTTGAGGTGTGGCAGTTGACAACTAGGGGGCACCGAGCGGTTTAATTAACAATAAAATGCAAGTGCGACCCGGGGACTGCTTCGTGGGACGACAAATAGAGCAGGCGCATCGCACATCGAATTACAACAAAAACGGCAAGGGCGATTCGGATCGTGGCGGACAGGAGGCAAGAGCGTGGGACCAGTAGCACTCTCAACATGGCAGAGGAGTTAGGAAGGGACGACTCAGAGCACCTGGACGGCGGCTTCGTTCAGTTCCCAATTGGGCAGCAGCTCCCAATGTTGTGACCTCAAACGTGAATATGCAAAATTACGGAGCATAAATAGAAGACGAAGACGACGAAGAAGACGATGTCCACCCGCACATCACGCGCAACGGACTGTGCTGTGCTGCGCGCCCGGTTGCCCTTTTGGCTCTGGCTCGCCTGCAGGCCGCTGTTCGTCGACCTGCTGCCCATGCAACCCTCCCACACCGCATGTTTAGGCCGCGGCTGGTAATAAAAAGAGAAGCAAATGGCAAAAAAAAGCGGCGGCTCCAACTCACAATTTCCCAGCTACAGCCGGCCACCATGCGGTCTCGTGTTCAACGGCCGCCTATCCCGGCTCGTCTACGACATACAGAAGTCTCCAATCTTCTGTTCTGCTGCATGCTTGTGGACCCAGTGGCATCGTTAACCAAAGTCGAACGTTGCGTACAGCGAACCCAAACTCGGGCAGCAACCAATCGCCGAACCATCCTTGTCCAGTCAAACAGCCGACGATGGCATCCCATATCAGCCGCATTGATGGACCACTGGCAGGGTTATGAACTCCCGGAACTGCGGCGGGTGTTGAGAAGCAAATGGTTTCGGACGTCTGTGGAGGATTTCCAATGCACCGCTAACATCATAGCGCGAGCAATTTGCCGCCCCGCTATATGCATCAGCGGTTACCCGTGAGGTCGACCCAGAAAAAAAAATATCAAAACCGCAAGTAAACAACCGCATGGCGCAACGTGCACAAAAAGACCAGCCATGGCGTTGCGATGTTCAGGCAGCACGCCGCTGTTTCTGTCCTTTCTGTTTCCGTCGGTACATGTAGCCCGCTGTGCTGGCCACAGCGGGCGACGGGCTGCCGCAGCTGCAGTCCCTTTTCCAGCAACACGGCCAGTCACATGCCGCCAAAGTCCACCACGGCGACACTACGGCTCTGAGACTACGCCACCGCCAGCGGATGGGACGGCCGAGGCCGAGTTGCGAGAGGAGAAAATACCACAAGAAACACCAGTAGCATACCCAGTGTCCCGTCTCAATCCAGCGCCGGACGACTATGCGGCCACGAGCTTCGCCGACAAGGCCACGCTGACGGTCCATGCTGGGTCGGGCGGCGCCGGCTGCATCTCGTTTCTGCGCGACATGTTTCTTCCAGACGGCCCCGCGAACGGTGGCGACGGGGGCCACGGCGGAAATGTGTACATCCAGGCCGTGCCTGGAGAGACGTCGCTGCACAAGATTGCAAGGCGTCGGGTCATGCGAGCGGGTCGCGGCAAGCATGGCCAGGGCAGTGCCCGCAACGGCCCGCGTGGCGACGACCTGATTGTCACGGTCCCCGTCGGAACAGTTGTGACAGAAGCCAGCCGCATCGACCCTGTGGCCGAAGAGGCCGTGTTGGCCCGAGAGCGACACTATGCGCGCAAGCGCAAGCGACAGTTGGCCCATGCGGCGAACCAGGCAGCCATTGCTGCTGCCAAAGCAGCAGCCGCCTCCGGCTTGGCGCTCGAGGCGGGTGAGGAGCCGCCCAAGTCCGAAGAGCAGCTCCAGCTCGAACGGCAGCAGCAACAGGACGCGGACGAAGGCGACGACGCGGAGATGGAATGGGTGCGCCGGAAATGGCTTGTCTACCCGGGCTTGTCGTCGTCGGAGGTGCGGAACATCGAATACCCGCGATTGCCTCGCCGGGACCGATTTTTTGTGCAACCACCCGCCCCCATCTACCTCGACCTCTCACGGCCGACCACGCAGCCGATCCTGCTCGCGGCTGGCGGCATTGGCGGCCTGGGCAACCCGCACTTTGTGTCGCGGCGCCTCCCACGGCCTATGGTGGCGACACGGGGCGAGAACGCCGTGTCGCTGACCATCCACCTCGAGCTGAAGCTGCTGGCCGACGTCGGTCTTGTTGGCCTGCCCAACGCCGGAAAGAGCACCCTTCTGCGGGCCGTCAGTAACAGCCGGGCGCGCGTTGGCTCCTGGGCTTTTACGACACTGCAGCCCAACATCGGCACGGTCGTGCTCGACAACAACCGCGGCCGTCCCGTCGTGTCGATGCGCCCAACAAAGAAAAAGGCCGTAACCTCGACGGCCGACGGCGAAATACACACGGTGGCAGGCGACGAGGCGGATGCGACGGTCGCCGTTCCGCCGCGCACACGGTTTACCATTGCTGACATCCCCGGCCTGATTGAGGGGGCCCATCTGGACAAGGGCCTGGGGATCGAGTTCCTGCGGCACGTCGAGCGCGCCGGTGTGCTTGCCTTTGTGGTCGACCTCGGCGCAGGCGATGCTGTGACCGCACTCAAGGCCCTCTGGAAAGAGGTCGGACTCTACGCCCGTCTGCGCGCGGAAGAGGAAGAGCAGCGCGAGCGAGAAGCGCGCATTGAATGGGACGCCCAGCAGCCGCCCGCGCAAACCATATCCCACACCGTGGCCGACGGGCTGCGCACGAGCACGAGCGCGCCCACCGTGTCCCCCGAGCTCGCCATTGCCGGCAAGCCGTGGTTTGTGGTCGCCACAAAAGGCGACCTGCCCAGCGCCGAGGCCAACTTTGGCAAGCTCAAGGACTACATTGACCGCATGGGCCGGGGCGAGGAGGAGCACCCCAGCGGCGTCGCGGGCGGCTGGACCAAGAACCTGGCCGCGATCCCCGTCAGCGCCATCAACGGCCACGGCGTCGATCGCATTGTCCACTGGACCGTCGGCCTGCTGGACCTGTAGCATTTATGTACCAAACCGTTGTATGAATATGTATGAGAACGCCATTTGTACTATATACCTCACTTCACACCAAATTTAAAGGCTATTTTAGTATCTGGTACATCGTTATCGTCCCTGCGATAAGCAATCGATAGAACGGAAAGTGGGGCGTTGCCTCGATTACATTGTAAATTTTCCCCAGCGCGATCGACGACTCGGATGCATCGCAGTGCAAACAGAGCTTTTGTTGCCCACCAATTGCGACCAACACCACACGACGAGGCTGCGTGGTCGCCATTGCATGAGCGCATACACCCGGACTCTCTGTGTCTTATACGCGCGGCGCCCACTCTCTGAGATACAGGTACTCGACGGCATCATGGGTCGCGGCGGTTTTAACAAGGTGAGTTGGAGACGATCCGAGGACGAGTTCTATTTATTTTATTTGTTTTACTTTTTACTTTTTCTTGTTTACGAGGAAGACTGACCGTGCTTCCACCGACCATAGAAAAACCGCGGAGGCGGACGCGGCGGCGGCCGGTCCAACGAGCGCTACAACAAATCGTACCCGGACCTGGTCAAGGACAACGAGAAGCTGCAAACATACTACAACAGCCTGCTGCGCCTCGACGACGACGAGACGGAGCGCGAGGCCTTTTGGGGGGCGTTCCGCCGGGAGCTGCCCCACAGCTTCCGGTTCTGCGGCTCCAAGGGCCACGCCCAGTCCGTGCAGAAGCTGCTGCAGACGCGCTACATTCCCGAGATCGCCCAGATCGGCGAGTACGACGGCCAGCCCGTGAGCCCGCCCCAGGCCGTGCCCTGGTACCCGGACAACCTGGCCTGGTGGATGACGACGTCCAAGACGGTGATTCGCAAGTTCCCGCCGTTTGCGGCGTTCCAAAAGTTTCTGGTGTCGGAGACGACGGTCGGCAACATTAGCCGCCAGGAGGTGGTCAGCATGATTCCGCCGCTGCTGATGGACGTGCGCCCGGGCATGGCCGTGCTGGACCTGTGCGCCGCGCCGGGCAGCAAGGCTGCGCAGCTTCTCGAGATGGTACACCAGGGCGAGGAGGCGCGCGTGCGCAAGGTGATGCGGTCCATTGAAAAGACGCTGGCGGGCGACAACGGCGTCGTGGCCGAGACCATTGCGGAGGTTGAGGAGGATGCAGAGGGCAACGACGACGAGGACCAGGACCAGGATCCGAACCAGGACCCGAACCAGGACCCGACGACGAAGCTGTCGGCCGACCCCGGCGACGACGGCCGCGCGACGGGCGTTCTCGTGGCCAACGACGCCGACTACAAACGCAGCCACCTGCTGGTCCACCAGCTCAAGCGCCTGTCGTCGCCCAACATTATCGTGACGAACCACGACGCCACCATCTACCCGTCGCTACGCCTGCCGCCGCTGCCCAGCGAGGCCGGCGCCAAGCAGCCGCCCCAGCAGCGCTACCTCAAGTTCGACCGCATCCTGGCGGACGTGCCCTGCTCGGGCGATGGCACCCTGCGCAAGAACGTCAACATGTGGAAGGAGTGGAACCCGGGCAATGCGCTGGGCCTGCACCTCGTGCAGGTGCGCATCCTCGTGCGCGCGCTGCAGATGCTCAAGGCGGGCGGCCGCGTCGTCTACTCGACGTGCAGTCTGAACCCCGTCGAGAACGAGTCGGTCGTCGCGTCGGCCATTGCGCTGTGCGGCGGGTCCGACAAGGTCGAGATCCTCGACAGCAGCGACCGGCTGCCGCTCCTGCAGCGGCGGCCGGGCCTCAAGGCGTGGGACGTTATGGACAAGTCGGGCCGCCAGTGGCGCAACTGGGAGGAGGTTGAGGCGTTTATGGCGACCGAGGAGAGCGGTGGTATCCCGCCGAGCCGCCTGGTGCCGACCATGTTCGCCAACGAGGCGTCCGACAAGCTGCCGCTTGAGCGCTGCCTGCGCGTGTACCCGCACCTGCAGGACACGGGCGGTTTCTTTATCGTGGTGCTACAGAAGAAGGCCGAGTTCAAGGCCAAACCGGTGCCGAACGGCCCGGCCGTGCCTAAGAAGCAGCAGCAGCAGCAACAGCAAAACCACAAGGCCAAGGCACCGCCTCCCGCTTTTGACGACGCCACGCCGGCCGCCGAGACCGAGAACGGCGACAGCAATGGCGCTGGCGTCAAGCGTGTTGCCGAGGACGATGTGGCCAGCGTGGACAGCCAGCCTGTGAAGAAGCAGAAGCAGGACGGCGAGGACGCGGAGACTGGGACGGAGACGGAGACGAAACCCGAGGCCAAGGAGGAGGCGGCAGAGGCTACCAACGGCAACGCCCAACCAGCGGCTGAGGCTGTCGAGGCCGTTGACGAGTCTGCTGCCGCCCCTGTGGTGGCCGGGAGCGATCCCCTGCGCGAAGCGCCGCGCCCCAAAAACGGCCCGCATTACGAGGAGCCGTTCAAGTACCTGGCGGCCGACCACCCCGTGGTCAAGGACATCCAGGCCTTCTACCACCTGTCGCCGCGCTTCCCCTCGGACCGCTTCATGGTCCGCAACGCCTTTGGCGAGCCGGCCAAGGCCATTTACTACACGAGCGGCCTCGTGCGCGACATTCTGGTGGCCAACACGGCCGGCGGCGACGGCGGCGGCGGCGGCGGCACCAATGTCAAGTTTGTGCACGGCGGTGTGCGCATGTTTGTCAAGCAGGAGTCGCCGTCGGCCGAGGTGTGTCGGTGGCGCATCCAGGCCGAGGGCCTGCCGCTGCTGTCGGGCTACGTGGGCGAGGCGCGCGTGGTGAAGCTGCACAAGAAGGCGACGCTCAAGGCGCTGCTGGTCGAGATGTTCCCCAAGTTTGTCGACGGCGAGTGGACCAAGCTGGGCGAGGTGGGCGAGCGGCTGCCGGACCTGGGCATGGGCTGCTTTGTGCTCAAGGTGGAGCCGCGGCCGGAGGATGCCGAGGCGGAGGCGCTGGTGGGCGACGTGCCGCTAGAGCCCATGGCGCTACCGCTATGGAAGAGCTTCCACTCGCTGAACCTGATGCTGCCCAAGGAGGACCGGGCCGCCATGCTGCTGCGCATCTTCAACGACACGACGCCGCTCGTCAACAACTCACTCAAGGAGAAGAACAACAACGCGAAGACGGCCGAGGCGGCGGCTCCCGCTTCAGCTCCTGCTCCTCCTCCTGGTCCTGGTCCTTCTGGCGAGGATGCCACAATGACCGATGCTGCTGCCGCTGCGCCGGCCGAGGCGGCCAACGGCGAGGACGCTGAGATCAACGCATACGATGCCGAAGACGCCCCATCTTCGTAGTCGTCGCTGGGCAGAAAGGCCTTTGTGACGTAGTCGTTGATTACGTCTGTTTTGATATTTGCAATAGACGGTTTCGGTTGGCATCATAAGGGATCCGTTTCTGGTGTGCTTTGTATTTTAGTCATTTCATTTAACACAATGTAAGGGTAACACCAGAATTGCCGATGGAGTAAAAGATGGAGCAAAAGTGACAAGTTTCCAAATGAGTGAATTCAAGCTGAAAGATGGACTTTTATTCCAAAAAGAATATACAAGAAGTTGAAAGTCTATAACTTGCCCCGGAATCGTCCAAGGACACTCAAAAATGTGCATTCTATGTTCATAGTGTTATGGGTTGCGTGTCCGTGTAGCAATTGCCGCTCCGTGTCTGTGGACGCCATAACCAAAAGCAATGTGAAGAAAAAATACCACCAACAACTCAAGGATCAAGAAAAAGGATGAAAAAGATCCAGCAAGTTAAAATATAATATCATGTCCAACGCCAACCGTATTGCGTACCCTGAGTGTCCCATTCAAGCAAAAGCAAATGTCATATCCAAACCCGACTGCATTTACAGAGCAAGGATGGCAGCCATGAGGGCAGCGAAGCCGGCGCCGATGGAGCCCGAAATGGCCACAGCGCCGTTGGTCACGACAACAGGACCGCTGGTAGTGGTGGCGCCGCCCGAGGAAGTCGTGGTGGGACCGACACGGCCAGTGGAGGGGGAGGTACCATTACCAGAACCGGAGCCCGAGCCCGAGCCCGAGCCCGAGCCAGATCCAGAGCCAGAGCCAGTGGCAGAGGTGCGGGCCGCCGAGGGGGTCGACGTAGCCGTGTTCACAGCGGTGGTGTTCGCGGCGGTGGTGGAGGGCAGCGTGGTCTGGACATGGACGCTAGAGCCACCGGCACTGTCGCCGCCGATGACAACACCGGGCGACGAGGCAGCGTGGGAGGCGGCGGCCGAGGACGAGTTCTTGACGGGAGTCGAAGACTTGGCAGCGCTGGAGCTCGCGGCGGCCGCGGCCGTGGACGAAGTCGAGGTGCTGTTGCTGGTGGCGCCGCTGCAAGACAGGTCGTACAGAGGGGTGGTGGTCAGGGTCGAGCCGATGACACCGAAGCTGGGGTTGGGGGTGGAGGGCGCGGCATCCTGCAGAGTGTACCACCAGACGTTGACGCTGCCAAAGCGCGGGCAGCCGGCCTCGTCCCAGAACGTCTTGGCGTTCTCAGTCGAAGCAACGGCCTCGTTCTCCGTTTTACCGCTGACGGGCCAGCCGGTCTCCGTAATCCAGACGGGCTTGCCCTGGGCAACACCAGTGGTCTCGCTAATAGCGTCGTTGAGCAGGCCCGGACCTTGGGCAATGCCGTTGGCCATGGTGTTCTGGAAGTACGGGTAGGCGTCCACGCCGAGCCAGTCAATGGCGTCGATGACGGCAGTGTTGGAGCCGTTCACCCAGGCCGTCCAGGTGTCGACGTGGCCAATCGAGGCGCCGGACAGCGGGGTGTTGGCAATGGCGTCACGGACCTGCTTGATGTAGCCGGTCAGGACATCAGGGCCGGCACCGACACCGGACTGGTTTTCAATACCGGTGGGGGTGATGCGGTACAGGTCCTCGGAGCCGACCGAGATACCGGCGACCAGGGGGCCGAGAGACTCGCCATAGTTGCTGATGGCAGCCTTGAGCGCAGCAAGCTCGTTGGCGAAGCCAGCATCACCACCAGACGCCCAGAGACCGAGCAGCAGACTGGTCTTGGTGCTGATGGCAGCCGGAATGGCAGAGATGACGTCGTTGGCAGTGCCACCTTGCTGTAGCAGGAGTTGACGAGTTAGCAACTGACCGAGGGCGAGACGGTGTGTTTTGTACGCATAAAGACATTCCAGCAACGTACAATCATAGTGTAGAGACGAGCGCTGGTAAAGGCACCGTTGGTGCCGTCAAGACCAGCGGCGGTCTTGAACTCCTTCTCAAAGTCAGACTGGGCCTTGGCCGAGCCATCTGTGAAGGTCGAGCCGTAGTTGAAGCCCTGGTAGGCTGCGAGGGCCTGGGGCAGGACGGCGGCAAGGGCCGCGAGAGAGAGGACGGAGTGCATTTTGGCGAGGTAAAAAAAAAAGCTTTCCGAAAAACAATAAGCGTATGTTCAAAAAGAATAACAAAATAATACTTCCAAACGAGTGTATGGAAGAAGATTGGACGACGAAGGAAATACGAGGTGAAAGAGAGAAGAAAAAGAGAAATAAAGAAAGAGGAAAAAGAAGAAGAAGTGGATGTTGTAGATGAAGAAAAAAAGAATGACGAAATCCAAGAAGGGGAAAGAAGGAAAATAGAGGCAAGGAAGCAGGAACACGAACAGAACCACAAGTCAGGAGGGAGGCGGATACGAGGTCGTATCTGCGCCCGCTGAGCTAAAATTCGAAAAACAAGACTTGAGGACCTATCGCCGTTCTCTGTCGGCGCGTGTCTTCGTACTGTGCAGCTCTACGACGCATGTGTCAGGCCGGACAGTGCGAACCACCCGAACCACCATGGCGATATTGCTCTCCAGATCGTTTCTGTGGGCTATTGCTCGCAATTTTGGTTTGTTGCCTTTGGTTTCCCGTCCGGCGTCTCGAAGTTTCTACCGTTCAAGTCCGATCAGTTGCAAAAGACCCGGTGCCTCACTAACACAAAGTGTACATACGCGGCGTGAAAAGCAAAATTGTAGTACGAGATCTCTCTTGCGTGTTTTTGTTTTTTTTGCCCATCTCCTCGAATCGGCCCAACTGGCCCCGGGCGTTGTCGTAGTCCAGATTCTATGATCGATGTATTCATACTCGAAGTAGTACATCGTGGACGGCCGGCCGGCAGGTACTCGTACCTAGCACATTTTCCCTGTTTCTGTCGATCTCGACAGTGTGGGTAAACAGGGGGTATCGCGGGTACCACGGCTCTGCGACCCACACCTTGGGGCAAACAGAAGGAACCTGGTAGGGACAACAGCAACACAGGCTCGACGAGAGCAAGGTAGGCTGTCCAGGCAGTTCTGGACAAGAACGGCGCCGGAGACCATGCGAGCCAGTCAAACAAAGAAGTGGGCCGTTGCGTGTCCGTCCCAAGCCTAGACCCCGTACCTTACACTAGTGGCGATGGAAGGGAGGGGACGATGCTCAAAAGGGCCGCTCAAAGACAGAAAAGGACGCATCGCGCAGGAGAAAGGGATGCCCAAAATGGAGGCGCCGGCAAGCATCCAATCGCAGCTCGCTATGGAAGTCCCTCCTGCCCCTCTCTCTGCCCCTGGTGGCCGCGTACCTGCAGTCACGACAATCGTTCGCCAACGGCCATTCGTCTGTTCTTTGCTTGGGATGTTTGATGTTTCCTTTGTGTCCGTTTTAGAGTCGCTTTTCAATCCGTCTGTTTCTAATCTCTCCCTGGTGCGTCAGAACAGTTGATGTTGTTTATTCGACTATTGTGCATACGTATGCGTCTGGGTCCGGCATGGTTGTGTCACGGAACGAGGTTCTGGACCCAGTCAGTGGAGACCCAGCGATCTCCACTGACTGGATCCCTTTCCGCATCCCGGAAGGCAGGCCGTCATGACAGGTTCGATGGCTGACAGACGCTCGAAAAAGGACCCAGAGGGAGTAGATGCTTGGGCTCAAAAGAAAGTACTTCTGCGCCAGCTAGCAGAGAACACGCTGTTGGGTGCTTGTCGAGACTTGGCCGAGTCACCCACAATATGAGATCAGAACTGTCGCCGATATGCCAAGGTAGCAAAAGGCAAAGAGTGGAACACAGTGTCGATGCATCCCAACGCCGGGGCCATTCTCTCAAAGTCATCAACGTTGTTACAATAATGCCCAAAGCAAACAAACAGTGGGGTCCACTGAACTGGGACTGTGCAGAGTTTTCTCAGGCGTTGTTGGCTGACTGAGAGCCAGGCCAATGACCGGCTTTGCGTTCAACCCAGGCAGAGAATACTTGATGCCCTTATTGTTCGCCGTTCTGCCGCCATCGCCTTCTTTCGGTTTATATAGGCCTTCAGAGTTTTATTTTTGGAGTCCTTTTGTCCTGTTGCTCTCAATGTAGATTTTTGTCAGTCTTTGGCAGTTTTTGCTCGATGCTCCCACAGATGGCCTAAATACCTGTTTTGCTTAAATATAGCAACAAAAAACAAATAAAGAAAACAAAAAGTGGGTGCTCGTCTATGTTTGAATGCTCTGAACGATGTGCTGGCGGGGATTTGTTGTTCGGCCCCAATTGCACTAGACAGGGGTGTTCTTGGCCAGTCCCGGATGACGGCAAGTATCCTGTCGATGGGCGGATGGCTCGACAGGGTAGTGAACCAGGTTTGCGGCCCAAATGGCTGACAAGGCTTGGGCGTGTGGTAGGAGAAGATCCGGAAATCACACAACATGTGACAGCACATTCCAGCAACCTCGTTGTGCTTTTTATTCCACCACTTCACTTGTGTTTATTTTGATAGAATGAATGCGTAGCACAGCTTCCTTTGCGAATCGGTCCACAAAGCTGCCATTTCAAAATCTGCTGCAGCACTGAGTAACGCTCTGCTGGATATGGGCAGCGGCTTCTTGAGTGGTAGTGTAATGTTCGTGAACTTGCGTGGCAAACTCATGAAAGTTGATGACGGGTGGCCCGTGTTGGAAGATTAGTAGGGAGTAAAGTAGATACCGGTGATGGGCCTACTACTAGCAACCACACGATCATCAATGCGAGGAACGCAACGTGTCGGATGAAATGAAATTGGCCACGCTCGTAAATATGTACCCCATGTGAGTGTGTACCCAAATACTGTCTAAAGAGACAGCTGCACATCGAAAACAGCGAAACAAAAGCCAAGAAGATCCAATAACCCGCAAAAGAACACAAAATAATAAACACAAGCATGATCAGAAATTCGACTCGATCAGCCGGGCCACAACATTGTTCGACTCGGGCAGCTCTGGATAGTCGAGGTTGACGATGCCCAAGCGCGCCCGACCTTTGGTCGCGCCGTAGTTCTTCTGCAAGTACTCATTGGACAGCACGTTCATTCCGGGCACCCATTTGCCGATGAACTGGCTGTGAGCGCCGACCGCGATCCATTTGGCCTCTGCGATCTCGCCGTGCTCAGCCGGGTCGCCAACTGCCGAGCAAAAGTTGATGTACCAGTCGTGCGGCTCGTTGGTGTCTGCGCTGCCGCTGCTCGCATTCTCCATCATCTTCTGCACAAATTCGCCCTTGGATGCAATCAGGTCGTGGAGGGCAATCCGGTGCGCAAATTTCCACTTGTCTTGCAGACGTATGCGAATTTGCGTTGGCGTCACAATGGTAAAGTCTGGGTTATCGTCCAGCCAGGCCGAGAGATCAATGCCCTGCCGCGCAGTTGGTTGGATGGTCGGGTCACCTGCGTACCGCCGCAGAAGCACAGCCTTGCCCCGAACATCACCGAGTTTTGGGGTCAACGGCTCCGTGTACCAGCGATGCTGTCCGTTGGGCCACGGTGGTGTCGAGGCAATCGCATCCGACACAGAGCTGTAAAAAACAGCCGGATTGTCGGTTTGCTCCTTCGAGTGGTCGTCGTTGTTGATGGAAATGAGCACCGTCTCAGTCAGCGGAGGCACATCCGAAGCATCCTCAGGATTGGCTCCAGGCGACATGAAGGACCATATGGCATCCATCACCGACTCAAACGACAGGTATTTTGGGTAGTCGATGGGGATGCCTCCGTGGTAACAGTAAAGCTGGCCATCCTTATGGCGACGCAGTCGCAAGTCGAAGAAGCGGATACCTAGAGCCAACTGCTGGCTGATGGAAAGGTACTGCGTGCGGACAAAAGGGATGTTGCTGCGTGCACAGCTATCGTGCGTGCCCGGTATCGTGAAATTGGACACGGGCTGATCGTCAGGAAGGCCAGCCATCCACGACGTCAGCGAGTACTGTAGCACGGGGCGCGAGTACCACCGCAGGTCGCGCGTCTTGGTGTTGTCATTGAATATGCAGTGCACGCGACCGTTGAGAATGGTGATCTGCGGCGGGTCGGCCGCTGTCGTGTCGGCGACAGGCTCGTGCGGCGCCCAGACGCCGTTGTTGAACGCGGCCACATACACAGCATGCGTCTCATCACTCGGCCCTGACTCGATGATGCCCAGGTAGGCACTGCTGCCAAAGGACACGGCGCTGACACCCGTCGCTGCACGGCCCTCGGACACATCGTCCGTCTGTGTCCATGTCTGGCCAATGTAGTCGTAACGGTAGCCGATGATGTGGCGTTCCTCCGTGTCGGCACCGCAAAGGACATGCAAGACGCCCTCAAAGACAAACAGGGCCGGGATGCCTCGAAACCGCTCTTCGGGACCAGCCGCCAGCTGTGGCACCGTCCACTGCCGCGCGTCAGGGCCAAGAGCCGACCAGATCGTGTAGTACAACTGGCCGTCACGCAGAAAAACGAGGAAGATCTTGTTGTGGAACGCAATAATAGCGGGTGTCGAGTGCGCCACGAGTCCCGCGTCGGCGTCTAGCGGGCCGAGGTTCGCCCAGGCGACACTTGCATCGTCATCGTCATGGATGAAGTGCGTCATTAGGCCAGACCCGGGCTGCACAATCACCATGTGCAGCACACCATTCAGGTTGGCCATCACCGGCAAGCCCGTCTCGGCGAACAGCACTGGACGGCCAAACTGCTCTTCGTTGCCGCTGCCACCGGTTTGCGAGTACCAGAGCTGGCCGTCGAGGTCGGTCCATATACACCAGAGACGGCCGCGGTATGCAGCGACGGCGGGCACGGTAGCCGACTGGCCATGACCGTCGTCGAAGAGCAGGCCTGTCTTTGACCTGCCGTGGGGGAGCCAAGACATGGTAGAATGGCGGGGCCGAATGCGAACGTTTGGCGGTGGGTAGCTTTCTCAGGGTCGTTGGCAAAGCGAGCTTCTTAAGGCCAGCCTTGTCAATAAGCAGCACAAGCCGAGATTGTGGTACAACGTGCGCGGTTTCTCCTGCCAAGACTCTGTATCTGCAAGGCTCGCTGCAGCGATAAGAATAAAAGCACTCCCACGATGGAGAAAAGGTGAAAAGTCACCAGAAACACGCACCTGTAGCAAGTCTCTCTAACATGAAACGAATGGCAATGCGACGAAATGCCCCTCACATGAACCCCCTTTCTTCTCTTGTCCAAGTTTTAGCCGCATAATCTAGCCAGCTTTTTCAGCTGCTGCTAGGCCATTGACGCAACGGCCTGGAGAGTGGAGACGAAAGATGGAGGGCAGCACTGTTTCGGCCTCGATGCCAAATTCCGACCGGAAAAAGAACCATTTGCAAAACCGGGTTGGTGGTACGGTTTTGTGTAAGGGGATCGTGAGGGGAGGCTGCGGGGCTCGTAACAAGTAAACACCGGGCTTATCGAGGCCCTGCCAGTGGTGCAAACGTCTCGACAGCACCAAACGTTGCCCAGGCCCAAAAAGGCGGCTGAAAGCTCTAGTATGCATCAACTATGAAAAGGGGGGATGAAGCTCAAAAAGGAGCAAAATCAGCGGTGGAGTTCTGTTTATTTACGATTCGGTCGAGCGAACACTATTGGGAAAGAACGACCGCTTGTCAAATACAACAAGGGAAGTCACCAGTGACGTATGTCGCGAATGGGGAAGCAAGACAACCCAAAAAGCACGCACCGAGGAGCTCTTTCCCCTGACAGCCCCCACCCACCCTCTCTAAAAAGGGAAAGGGACGCCAACAAGGACCAAAAGGAAGTCATTGCAGGTCACGCGACATCAGCGTAGCTTAGCTGTCAAGCAGTCCCCTTTTCTCGAGCTGAGCAGCGTGGACATTCTCGTGTACCGCCCCAATCTCCGGCCTTCTCTCTTGTCCCACCTCTTTAGCTAGGGAAAAACGCGTCCAACGACGCCACGGTTTGCAGTTGCGGCAACTTCGGCTTCGTCAGTCTCTCTTTATTCTCGTCTTTCCTGTCACTCTCTTCCCTTTCGCCCTTTCGACATTCATTCACGCGTCGCTCTCAGCTCGTCATCCTCTACCGGCACCGACACCGGACGAGATGGTCTTCCGTTTCTCGCGGCCCAGTGGCCATGGCCGCCGCCGCTTCGGCTTCGTGTTTGCGCTGGCAGCACTTGCCGTGCTCGCGTTTTCGATGACGGCCTCTGCCGACACCAAGGCAGCCTCGACCGCATTCCCGTACCCCATTAGCTCTGAGGCGCTCAACGACCGGCTGCAGGAATGCGAGGTGGTCCAGGCGCTCGGGCAGCAGAAGCTGAGGCGGTACGGCGGCGAGCTCGGCCACGGCGGCGCGACGTCCTCGACAACGGCCAAGATCTTTGCGGTGCTGTTCCCCGGCAGCCCTGCGGTCAATGCGCTGCTCGCGACGCTCTACATTTCCGGTCCCCCCAACTTTCTGCTGGCGCTCTGCCCGCCCAACATCGACCCCGCCTCGCTGTCCGTGATGGTGGCCTTTGCGGTGGGCGGCCTGCTGGGCGACACGCTGTTCCACCTGCTGCCCGAGATTTTTGTGGGCGAGGACGACGAGCGGGCAGATCGGGCCCGGCTGGTGCTCGTGGAGCCGAACCGCAACCTGCTGCTGGGCGTGGCGATTCTTGTCGGTTTCCTGACGTTTGTGGCAATGGACAAGGGCCTGCGGATAGCGACCGGCGGCGACGGCCACGACCACGGCAGCCATAACCATGGCCACAATACTCCTGAGGCCAATGCGACGGCCGTGACCACGTCCACGGACGTGGCGTCTGGCTCGGCCAAGTCGCGCGGCAAGAAGGGCGGCAACAAGAACAACGACAGCAACAGTAGCAACAGCAGCGAGAAGAAGGATGGGGAGGCAAGCAAGGCCGTCGCGGTGCCCGAGGCGAGCGCCAGCGTCAAGCTGTCTGGCTACCTCAACCTGATGTAAGCACTTTCGGTGTCCAGAAGAACAAAGACTACGTTTTCTAACATGTTTGTTCCCCTTCTCTCCTGCAGTGCCGACTTCACACACAACATTACCGACGGCCTCGCCATGTCCGCCTCCTTTTACGCGTCCCCGACAATCGGCGCCACAACGACGGTGGCCGTCTTCTTCCACGAGATCCCGCACGAGGTGGGCGACTTTGCGCTGCTGATCCAGTCCGGCTTCTCCAAGCGCGCGGCCATGGGCGCGCAGTTCGTGACGGCGCTCGGCGCCCTGCTGGGCACCGTCATCGGAATCCTGGTCCAGGAGTTTGGCGGCAACAGCAGCTCGGCGGCGGCGGCGGCGGCGGCGGCGGACGGCGTGGTCGAGGCCGGCCTGTTTGGCACGAGTCTGACGGTGGGGCGACATGCTTCTGCCGTTCACGGCGGGCACGTTCCTGTATGTAGGCACAGTGGCGGTGATCCCGGAGCTGCTGGAGACAAACCTCGAGGGCAGCACGAAGCTGGCAGAGTTGCGCAAGACGCTGATCCAGTTTGCCGCGATTGCGACAGGCGCGGGCATCATGCTGTACATCTCCTGGCATTAAATGAGGAGAGGAGGCCCTACGGCTCGGCATGGGTCGAACTTTGGATATCACACAACACAGCATACTTGGCAACAATGAAGGGGCTGGCATCAGTCCCAATCATAGACGGGACGAACAGGGTTTTAGAACATAAAAGACGACTGTCTGGATGAAATACGACTTTCTTTTGGTAGAATGGCGTTTGTTTACTACACCGGGAAGGTTGCATTCGAACCAGGATAGCTCTGACGTCCGAATGAGGCATATAAACGACTGTTTTGTATGCTTTAGTCTCGTTCGGGATGCAATGCTCCTTACGTAAAGGACAGTCGGGCTCGCGCAATTGTTGCTGTTTCTGCACACCGGATGGTCGCCGCATCTCCGTCGCGGGTAGTACGGCAAACGTCGCACATAGAAAAGGGCTACCTCCGACACTGTGATGTCACCAGAGTGGACCCCAAGTGAAGTTTTGAATGTCGAGCTTACTGTTTACTCTGACACGTGCCTATTTGCTCCCGCTCAACATAGCTCTCGTCATGCCTTCGCCGTAGCCCTGTGATAGTTCTCACCGCGCCCTACGCCGTAAGCTGACGGAGAGGAGCGAAAATAGTGCAGAGTACACCATCCAAGAGTCACAAGCAGTCTCGTGTTCGTAGCAAAACCGGATGAAGCAGGAAGCAAGTGCTAGGTCTCGAACATGCTTTGCATGGCCAGAAACTTGTGCAAAACAAGCAGGGAATGTATACTCCGACCAGGATGGCGACAGCGGTGAGTGTGGTATCCGTATTGGAAGTATACTTCTCAGACAGCGGCAAAACGGTTGACGATCAGAGTCGACAGACCCATTGGCTCCGAGACTTTGTCTGACGCACAATTACAGAGAAGAATTAAAATAAGGCACTGTTACATTATTGTCGATCTTCTGTAAGACGTCGTGTAGGGAGTTTTCAAGAGAATGAAACTCGGATCTGGAATAAAGAAGGCAGTAGATCTTGGCCCGGCGGAAGATCATACAACCCAAAGGATTCGCAGCCAGTCGTAAAATTGATTCCGTATAGTGGCAAGTGTCTCTAGAAGAGGCAACGATGCAGCTTTCCATGTACGAAAAGGAGATGCTACGCGGGCCGTTTCCTGAGCACTTAATTACGCTCCTTCGGAAGCTATGGAAGACGAAGGATCGAACACAGTTCACCAAACCCGTATCTGGAAAGACTGCCTAATCCAGAGCTTGCGAGACGTCTGTTTTGTAAACTGCTCCGTCGGTGTTAAAGGAATCGGTGCCGGTTAATGGGGACCAGCAAAGGATGGCCAGTGCTTTGTCGCGCAAAAAACGCAGCGATCTAAGATGCAGGGTCTGCCCAGCCGCCGCCATTTGCTTCCGTTAAAAGAGAGACCGACAGACAACACACGTGGTCACCGGGAACATTGTTTGACGAACCATTGACAACGCCTAACCGCAGAAGCTCTCCTACGGAGATCCTTCGGCGTCAGCTTCCCTCGTAGGGCAGGCGTTGCGTCCTCCAACGCCGAAGTTCCAGCGAGATCAACAAAAGGAGGATTGGGTCTCGGCCGACAGCTTCGAGAGGTCTTGCGTAGGGGACTCCAATTTGTGTTGCACAATTTGGCAGCATCTGTTTGACTCAATTCGCCCTTGAAGTGGCCAGCCAAGACTGTCGAGCAGTCGTTATGCTGCCATGTTATACGATTTACTACCATGTTATTGCTGCTAATATGTTTGGCGCTGTCAACGACGAATGCGACGTAATGGCAGTGTGACCAAACAGCATTCCGAAATCGCAAGATGTGCTTTCGGGTTTCGTTGCAGAGTTATTTCTTGGTACTGTGACTCGTCAAAATATAATGTCAATTTGTTATTCCTTCATTCTCGTTTTCGTTCGCATGGTTTTCATAAAAAATTCCAAGACGTGACTCTTCATTTCTTAGGTCCTTTATTCTGGTCAAATGGGGTAGTTCAGCGCTACGGCATGTAGCAGAAATAGCTCATTTCTATTCTTTCTTTCTTCACTGCCACTCCCAGCATCCGTAAGCGGAGCCTGTTCATGTCCGTTATTTTTTTAAGAGTCACATCGTCGCTATATCGTTTTCATGTGTGAGTGGACTGCACTTACGCGGCTTTTTGACGGACGTGTTTTAGTTTTGTTCAAGCTTCGCCTCCCTCGTCAGGCAAAAATCACGATCTGCCAAGGCGCGTCGACGGAAGTGTATGTCAGGACGGTATGGAGGATCAATTTTTCTTATTTCTGTTCTCATTAAACTTTCTACGGAAGGGCGACGACGGAGGAGCAACAAGGGAAACAAGCAAATCAGGCATTGAAATTTGAAAATATAACTCCAAAACGGAAACGCAGGTTAGAAACGGCTTTGCGGTTACGGGAAGTCGACGACGTCGAAAAAGAAACAAAACAACACATGATTGGTGCAACCCTTCGCATGGAGAGTTCCACTTTGCTCCAGACTTTGCTCGGCTCGTCGCGCCGCTGGTAAAGCCCTCAATTGCAAAATTCTGCTTCGTCTGCAAATACTCATGTTGCGACCCGTTCCGGGCCATCGGACCTGCTCTTCGGTGGAGCGTTTTACAGTCCTCCGCTTTTATTTTTGATTTTGTATAGTAACGATTTTTTTGTTTATATTTATTATATTTTGTCCCGTCTTTTGTTTTGACATAACATTGACTAACGGTTTGTTTCTCATGGAAATTTTCCTGTCACTGTCCGTGTCAGCTCAAGCCGTGTATTACATGTTCCCAGTGGCCTGGCTTGCACCGGCTTATCGTGCAAGGTTTACGTCTGATGTATCTGGTGTTGCCTGATATTATCAGTTTTAGAACGTATACACATGAGGCCCTTCCAGTTTTACCTTCTCTTTCTTTTCAAAATCCATGTAAGGGAATTGGCGGACGCCGAGTTGTATTTCGAAGAATATCGATATTGTCCTGCTTACTCCTTAGAGCACCTTGACCACAGCTTAAATCGTCAGAGCAATTACGATGTAACTCTGCCACACTAACACGGCAAGACTTCTCTCCATCTTGGAGATTTATCCCGAAGCCGTAGCTAAGCCTTTTCCGTGGCGGTATGATGTTATTTATGTTCTGGCATTTTACATTCTTTATGTTTTATGTTCAACTACGTCAAATGACACCATATTTCCAGAAATCCCTTTCACTAATTTTTTCCCCCCATGAAATTCTCCTCCTGTTCTTTGGTATGTTTCTACTTGAAGCGTTTTCGTCACGATGCCACACAGTAGTTGTCTCGGGAAAATTGTGACTGGCTTGGCTAAAAAGTATGGGCGATATCGGGCCCCATCGTTCTCCTCTCCCCACACTCCACTAGATCCACCTCCGTATTCTTTAAACGAGATGCGCAAGTACAAAGTACCAGAGTATTTCAGCTTGAAAAAAGTGAAAGGTTGCATGGTTGACATGATTTGAAAGTTCAAAAGCAAGTTTAATGTGGAAGCGGTGACACCAAACGCAAGCCGAGCGTGAAAAAAGTTGCCTGTGGTTGATATCAAATCTCACAACACAGAGAGCAGCGGTGGTTGGCAAGAACGCGGCAGTGGTGTTGTGCTCGCGATGAGAACCTCAATGGACACCAGAAGCTGTCGTATTCTGGGCAGACACGATCAAAGCTTTGCTTGCAGACTTTGCTTCTGGTCATTATATCGACAGTTGTCGTCAGTTGAGCGTGTTTTGACGAACGGCACTGACGACATGGGTTTTCCATCGCAACAACGCGTAGACAAGGAGCATAACGCGAAACAAGTCACGATGATTAAAAATACACACAACGAAAACAAAGAGACGCAAATAAGAACGAATCAGTCAAACCAAGTCGAAGTTGGTTTTCACGTAAACGTAAAATGCTAAGCAGTGGCTCTGGACGACGTTTGTCAGCTTGTGTTTGTCAGACACTATCAGGTAAGCACAACCAGTCCTTTAAGCGCAGTTGGGCTAATTGGAAGCGGCAGTGGCTCAAAACAGGCAGTAATTACCTGCGGTGAGTTGAAAGCCACAGTGCTTGGCGACAATCTGAAACGTCACCACAGACGCCCACCAGTTCAATAGCGACCAGCCAGCCGCGATTTTCACAGCGGCAACGACAGTAGGACAGCAAGGGCGTGTAGTATTGACACAGAAATGTAAAAAGCAGCAAGTCTCACGAGCGAAAGCCGGAACAAAAGTAAGAAATTAGGCATCGAGGGGACAATTGGCCCGATTCTTAGGCCACACAAGAGACGAGACAGGAGAATACGGTGAGCAGGGAGCAGTGAAGAGTCAGCAGCGAGGGCTGTGAAAAACGATGATAACAAACAGTAACTTTGCAAGACGAACACCTCCGAGTCTGCACATTGTCCTCACATTGTCTTCACAACGGTACCAACAGTAATTAAGCCTTTGACTTTCGAGCAAGCCGTTAACAAGATGGAATGATCGACAATGCCGTTGCAGGGAATCTGGCAGATATCGACAGAAGGCGGTAGGCATGCAAAGAAACAGCAGACAGAGGGTCGCAGACAATGAGAGGCCGCGACTCGTGTTTCTTTTTCAGCCTTTCTTTTAGCTTCTTGATAGACCCGAATACGGACACCTCGCTAGGGCGTACTGACACACGTGGCTGAAAGCGAACGCTTCCGTTCACAGCCGTCGCGCGTGGGTACCGAAAATGGGATGCGGGCGCAACGAGAAACGCTGGGTAAAAGCGACCAAAGACGCGAGATGAAGTCAAGGAGAGTCGACTAATCAGTCCCAGGACACATCCTCTGTAGTGTGGTCTGTGCCACGCCGCTTGGCAGAGCGGGTAGAAACGCGGGTCTGGGGTGTCCTTTCTTCTGGTTTGGGGGTTCTTGTGACTAACACGCCCAAAAGGGAATAGTCAACGCCCATTGAATGACAGAGCCCCGTTTGCAAAATTTTCTTTGTCTTCTGACAAGTAGACTATTGGATGTAGAGCCGAGTCACTCGACTAGTCGTCTATGCGAATGGTGTACAACGCTGGTACATCACATGGTTCATTGACTCTTTCCCACCACGGAATTTCAGGCCTTATTTTCAGTTGCGCGCAGGGAAAGAGTTACCGACTGCGTGTCCGGCTGTCGTCCCCGGTTGTCGGTCTGCCCCTCCGGTACTGGGGAAAGCGCAAATGGCGTCGTAGGCCGCCTGGCTGCTCTTTCCCGAGTTCATCAACACGAAAAAGAAACCAAAATAAGCAAAGTAAGAAAGAGCCACCGAGAAGAGCACACGTGTGAGCACGACATCTTGGTGGCAGTTTTCATCGTAGCTGCCTTGGGATGGTCGTTGGATCACTTCCTTTCCTGATTAAGAAAAACGATGTCCTCATCGTCCTCATTTCGTAGATTCGTCATCGCGAGAATGAGGAAAGAGCACCATGGAACCAGCACCAGCCTTTAGAGGCATGTCGTAATGAACGAGAACCGGACGTTGTCGTGTAATTACCGGCATCTGACGGACATCGAAAACGACAAAAAGGGCCACAAGGCAAAACGGCAAGTGGGCCACAGGCGCTTGTGTGGTGCCGTCCAGAAAAGTAAGACGTGCAACAGCAGTTTCAACATAGAGAAGCGCCATATTGTATGTTTGTACATTCGTAGTGATGACTGCCACGCGAGTAGCGCCTTTGCGACTCGCGCCTTCCGCCCTGCTGTCTCCTGTCCAGCCTTCTTTCCTTTCCCCACACCCCCTTTGTCCCACCCTTAGACATGGAAAACGACATCGCGCCCTACGCCCTTCACCAGCCGCTTGTCGAAACTTATTTTTTGACATCCTCCACGCCGCCAATCCAACGCAGGGGGAAGCCTCCCAGCTCCATCGAAATGTACAGCCCAGATTCTACCCGATTCTCTTCCTACTGCATTAGCGGGTATTCACGGTGCCAGTTTCCTGCCGACCTTGCAGTCATCGGGACAGTTTAGGTGGCCCTTTCATTGTCTTTTTTCGTCTTTCGTCTTTCTTTCGTCTTGCGTCGCTGTGTTCATTGTTGTACCTCCTTCACGCTCCGGTCTCCATTTTTAATCCAATATCCCAACGCAGTCGTCCCTGAGCGGGTCCAATGCACCGGCAAGTAGTCTGCCTGTCTGTGAACAAAGTACGACGTCCACACCAAGACCAACGGTGGACTATTGAGCTGCTCCCTGTGCCCCAAATGTGACTCAGCTTTTGGCGTGTGTGCCGGGGCCAACAGCTCGTGTCAATGTCTCGATCGGGGCTGGTCTCTTACACTCTTGTTGGTGTCAACGGACCCCACCCAACCATGGCCATGTGGAACTAGCAGCCGACTAACATGATCTTGCCAGGCTTATTGGCCGTTAGACGGGTGGCCTTGCTTTGATGGCCAAGGTGCCCTGGCATCCTCAACTGCGAGGCATTGGCCTTTCTCCGGGGAGGAAGACAAGGTAGAGGAACTCGAAGCTGTCGCCAGGTTACCGTTCTTCTTCAGCCAGACCCTGGATGCTCGTTGGTAAGACTGCTTATGGAATATTGATTATGTGACGCTCCGCTGTTGGTCGAGGACTACCCAGAACGGATATTCTTTGTATATAACTGGGGATGCCCCGGTTCTTCTCATGTTTGTTTTCTTTTTTTGGTCTTTCGTTCAAATCAACATTGCGTCAACATTTATATATCCAGAATATTGGACATTGGATATTTGTCCCTACTTCCACACTTGTTTGCATCCTCACTTGCACACTCACTTACACCATTGTCGTGTAAACATCACCATTCAGCAACATCGTTACAGAGCGGCGCAAGACAACAAACGAGGAGCATAGCTTTTCTAAATACTGGGCCATATCAGTTTGCCATCCTGTCATTTTTGGCGCCTGTCTCATGCCCAGGACTCGACAGCTCCTCGACTTGCACAGAGACAGCATGACTGGCATCAGCGACAGCGGCAGCAGCAGCAGCAACTTCTCCGGCTCCGGCCCCCATCGCAGCATCGCCTTCCCCAAGTCAAAAATGGAGATCCAGCTGGACAACTACTTCAAGGCCAAGGTGTACACCTCCGGCGACTCCATCACCGGCACCGTCACCATTGTGCCCCAGCGCAACATCCCCTTTGACGAGTTCGAGATCGTCTTACTCGGCACCACCCATACCCGCGTCGAGCACGTCAGCGCGCCCATCGAGTCTTCGCACGTCTTTTTAAAGCTCTTCATGCCCATTGCCGAAGATGCCTACCCCGTTCCCCGCGTCCTCGAGGCGCACCAGACCTACACGCTTCCCATTCACTTTGTCGTGCCGCACCACCTGACTCTGAGTGCATGCAACCACAAGGTTGTGTCTCCGCACGTCCATGACCACCACACGCGCCTGCCACCCACTTTGGGTCGCGGCAACGGTAGCGGCGCGGCCGCCGCCTGGGAGCGCGACGACATGGCGCCTGAGATGGCCCGTGTCGAGTACGTCGTCAAGGCGCGCGTCTACCGCGAAACGCTCAAGGAGGACGGCTCAGGCCGGTCCACCCGTGTCAAGATTGTCGAGGCCACCCAGCCCATCCGCGTTCTGCCCGCCTCGAAAATCGACCCGCCTCTGTCCGTTTCGGAAAAGGACCGCGCCTACAAGCTGCAGTCGTCCAAATCAATTCGCAAGGGGTTGTTTGCCCGCAGCAAACTCGGCCGCGTGACCGCCATCACCGGCGACGACTCGATCGGCGCCCCTGAGCCAACGCCCATCGTGCTGCGCCCCGACGGCATCGCAGCCTCACCAACCAACGCCTACGTCCAGCTCTACTTTGACCCAGCCCGCCCCGACGTTGCACCCCCGCGCGTCACCAGCGTCTCTGCCAAGCTCAATGCCCACACCTACTACAGCACTGGCGCCATTACCACCTTCCCCAACCTCGGCGACTGGGCCCACAGCGACAACGTGCTCATGGAGCGCCGCGGCTCGTATTCGACCTCGGTGACGCTGCTCAACAACAGCCTCAAGAGCTTCCAGTGGGAGGCCCAGGTGGACAATAGGCGCCGCGACTCGGGCTACTGCAGCAGCGACAGCGGCGGTCCCGAGGAGATGGTGACGGGCAATGCCCGCCGGCGGTCCTCGGCGGCGTCTCCTTCCAACAGCAAAGAGATGGGCCTCGTCTACGCCGCGCCGCTCATTGTGCCCCTCGAGCTGCCCATGCACAAACGAACGTTCCTGCCGACCTTCCACTCGTGCATCGCCTCGCGCACCTACTCGCTGCAGCTCAATATTTCCATGGTGCCCGCCTCGTCCACGTCCTCCTCCAGCTCCTCCTCTTCGTCCGGCTCCACCACCACCGTGTCTCTCTCTGTGCCTGTGCAAATCGTCGTGGGCGACGCCAACGATGCGTCCATATCCGGCATGCCCAACGTCTCCGCCAGCCAGTACTACTACAACGAAGACGCTGCGGGTCTGCCGAGCTTCGACGACGCCCTAGAGGAGGCGGAGGCCGATGCGCACCTGATGCCGCGGGTCATGGCCGTGCCAGACGCACAGTATCAGGAGACGAGCGTCCTACCTGGCTACAGCGGCCGGCAGTGATTCCACTGTGCCCGTATCTGGGTTTTCTGTTCTTTTCTTTCCTTTTTTTTTGTGTTTTTTGTCTACATCATAAAAGCGTTGCATTTCATGCCTTTTTTTAATGGTGGTATGAGCAGAGATATCCAAACAGAGCAGCATGGATCTTGTTGTTTTAATTTTGTTATATGCTATTTGTTATTTGTTGTTTGCTTTGGATGCTATTCTTGCTTGTTTTGTTTCACCCTATATTACGACAGGATTCATTGCGCAGGTTGGGTTGGTTTTCGTTTTCTTGGGAACTGTTGGGTAGCATGGTTTGGGGGACATAATCTCATGACACGTTTAACAGAGTGCACGCATAGCAGCACAAAAACATAATAATAATTATCACGATCAAAGTTGTCAAGTTCCAATTGAGGTCGCACTGAAGTTAGTCTTTTGTTTTATTTAACTAATATTATATTCGTACTTGTGCATCCACTATTGTTTTACTATTTAAATATTTAATCTTTTCACTATTATCATCGCAACTTGTTTTAATCACGCATAAAAATCCTGACGGACCAATACCAACAATAAAACTGCGATGGAAACTAAAAACTAAAAACAACCGTCGAGTAGGACGGGTTGAGCCTGTGCCAGTCACATTTTACAAGGAATAAATCAGAACGAGAAGCGACAAAAAAAGAGACAGGCAAAAAAGCCAAAAAGCCAAAACCAAACAGAAAGGCATCCCGTAGAACCCCTGACCTTTAAAACAAACCCGTTGTCCTCCTCCCTCGGTACCGTTCTACCTCCACCCCTTCGAATTCCCCCAATTTTCAACAACCGGCCCAGATGCTTCCCCCAGTTTATGAGCGTGTGAGGTCCGCCGGCGCCGGTGCGTCCGCCAGGTCGACTCCTCCGCGCGTACCTTACACCAGGGAAACTAACCCAGCATGGCATGCGTGCGAATGCCCTTGGGGCCGAGTTCACTGGGTTTGTTAGTACAGACAACATCCTGCACGAAATAAAAAGGATACGGAACGGGTCAACATACTTGTAATCCACGCGCGTCAGACTCATCTGCCGCTGGCTCTCCAGACCCGCCACGTCCAGGTTGTGCACGCAGAACGCCAGGCGCGCCGCGACCTGTGCGCCCAGGAACATGGCCTCTTCGAACCCGTTCTTGGTCCACTCGCCGAGGTACGTCGGCAGCGTCGCGAGCTTGATCGCCGTCGGCGTCTGCGAGTGGAAATGGTGCGAGTGCGCGCCGCCGGCATCGCCGCCCGCTGCCGAGCCAGGGCCGCCGCCCGTGACGGAGCCCGGCGGCAGCGCGCCCGCCAGGGACGCCGTCGTGGCGGCCTGCAGCAGCGGGTTGACCGACGACGAGGTCGGCAGCTGGTGCGGCGGGGTGTTGAAGCTGCCCGTGGGCGTCTGCGACCCCGTACCCGACGGGGTGCCCATGTTGCTAGGAAGCTCCGACGTGAATATGGTCGCCGTGGACGGCGAGATCAGGTGCCGCGCGTTCAGCGTCTGCAGGATGTTCTCGCGCAGGCCGCGCAGGCGGCAGCCGTTGCCAACAAACACGAGGTTCTCCCAGCACGGCGGGCGCATGTACATCTCCTCAATGCCCTGCACGGCTCGGTAGATGGTGGACACGATGCGGTCAATCTCGTACCGGTCCGCGAACGTAAATCGCTCGAGACCAATCTCAAAGTCGCGCCGCTGCCGCTTGTAGCGCGGACCCTTGAGCTCCTCGACCACGGCCACGGGGGCCTCCACGACCACAGGCGCCGCCGGGGTGGCGGGGACCAGCTCCGTCGACGTCGTTGCTGGCGTCTCGGTCTCGGCAGGCTTGGTAGCAGCAGCATCCGCCTCCGTCGTCTCCTCCTTTGCGGTTGGTGCGTCTTCCATCACGGCGTCCTCGGTCGCAGCCTTTGGCGTGGCGGGCTTGTCATCTGTTGTCGCGACAGGCGCCTCGGTTGCCTTTGGCTTCTCGGCCACGTCGGTTGTGGAAGCAGCGGCCTCCTCCTTTGGCTTCTCCTCCGACGGCTTGTCCGCGGACGCGGCCTTGTCGGCCTCTGGTGCTGGTGCTGCGACGGAAGGCGTGTCCTCGCCCTTCACTTCTGTGCTGCGTGCTGCGCTGTCGTCCTTGGGCTTGTCGGCCTCCTTGTCCTTGTCGCCGACCGCTGCGTCTGCCTGCGCTGTCTTGTCTGTCTTTGGTGCACCGTCGGCGTCGTCGTCGCCTTCGCCCTCCTCGTCCTCATCCTCGTCCATCTCCGAGCCCTCGCCTTCGGAGCCTTCCTCACTGCCCTCCCCGTCTTCGTGGCGACCTTTGCCGTTGGCGCCCGTCGCATCGTTGCGCACGCCGTTGCTGGTCGGCAGAGGCGCCTCTTCGTCGTCCTCCTCCTCTTCCTCGACAAGCTCCTCATAGTGGAAGGTAACGCGCGCCCGCTTGGCGTTGGGTAGGCGAACCGGCCGTGCCGCCGCCGCCTCGGCCTCCTTGTCCTTGCCGCGCCGACCGAAGCGGCCTCGCTCCGACCGCTCCTTGTCCTTCTTGGCGAGGAATTCCTTGGTCTGGCCGCTCGTCACAATCGAGGCCACATCAAGCACGCCGTCGTCTGCCACCGGCAGTGCGCCGTCATCCGCATCGTCGGCACCATCGGCCACGGGTCCGGCGGCAGCGCCGGTCGTAGGAGCGCTGGCAGCCTGCGGGTCGTCGGTTCCGGCTGCCGCAGACAGGACAGCCGCAGGGCCGCTGGGGGCAGCGGCGGCGGTCGCGGCCGACGTGTCGTCCTCGGGCAACTCCATGAGCTTGGGAAACTCGGGCGCGTACGGCAGCACCTCGCAGATGCTGCTCTTCTTGAGCTGCTCGGCCATCTCCTGTGTAAAGTTCTTGTCACGCAGCAGCGCGCGGAGGCGCTGCGTAAAGACCTCGCCGCCTGAGATGGCACGATCGTCGCCCGACTCGCCCGGCTCGCCCGTGGGGCCGACGCCCAGGTGGTTGACGATGCGGCTGTCGTAGATGCAAGTGACGTCAACCTTTTCGTAGCCAATGTCGATGACGGTCATGTGGGGCCACTTGAGGCCGTACTGCGTGGCGAGCGCGCTGTTGATCATGCAGAGCGCGGGCGTGCGCGTCTTCTCAAAGATGTAGAGGGCAATGGCCTCGCAGTCGGGCCGGGTCCACTGCGACGAGGTCATGAGCACAATGGGCGTGTTGTGGTAGGTGGTCGTCAGCAGGCCGTGGACATGCTCGAGGAAGGCCAGAAAGGCGTCCATGTTGATAATATAACCGCCTGTATGGCGTTAGAGGTCATTCGTATGGCAATGCACGGCAAATGGGAACGTGAACAGAAGGAGAGAGCCAAAAAGACGGGGGTTCTCACCTTGCATGGGGTACACGGCACCCTCGTCCGACTCGGGGTCCTCCACATACTCCCACTCGTCCTCCTTGTCGTCCGCGCCGCTGTCGCCGTTTGCCGTCAACGCGAGCTGCTTCTGCTTCTGCTTCGGCTGCTGCTTCTTGCGCTTAAACGTGCGGTACGGCCGCCACTCGCCCGTCTCCTCGTCGCGGAACATGCGCGTCGGCACGCGGAAGGCTGGCGGCGTTAGCTCATTGCACCCAAGCTGGGCCATCGTCGTGTGGCTGCCGGGGCAGATGATGAGGATCTGCTCCTCCTTCCATTTGTTCAGCTGGCCCGACATCGTGCCTGGATGCCGTGGCGTGCAGCGGAGATGGGTATGGAGGGGTGAGCGAGTCGAATCGAGGTGGTATGGCTGCTAAATCTCTACAGCGAGGAGGCAGAAAGCAGGGGGAAATGGGAGGGGACGATCAATCGGGGCTGGTGAATTGACGCGTGCAACCGAGAATAGCACAGGCGCAGACAATTGGCTCGGTGGGAGCGGTGCTCGTGGCGGGCTGTGCGGTCGTCGTCGTGGCTAGCTTGCGGTCGAGCTCCCTTGTGGGCTGCTTGGAGGGTTCGCTGTGTTGCACTTTCTGGTGATTTTGTTGGCTGGGAATTTTGCGACAAGTGGTGCGCGAAGCGTGAGGCGCGACCGCGTGGATTATGTAATTAACACGTGACTCAGCACGTGTGGCGATTCTGGTAGGAAAACAACGACCGACATTTGACGTCCATGCGAACCAATATTTAGACATTCGATGCTGGAGTTGTTATGTAATTCTTGAATTTATTTTCTTGCGCGTGTCTGACAGATGATCTATCCAAGCTAGACGTTTTGTTAATCATTTCGTAGTCTGTCGGTATAAACGGCCCTGATGGTCCTCCGACAGCCTCTGCTGCACTCCATTCGCCTGCATTCACTGCAATTATAATTCATTAATGTACCCAAGAACGAGGGTGTGGCCGAGGCCAGAAAATAGGACGCGACATCAGTTCCAAATAAGAGACAAAAGCAAACCAAACGCCGCGTTTCCAAATAAGTTCTATCCATGTGTGACGCCGAATGTGACGCCGAAAGGGCTTGGATGCAAGTCGAAACAAGCTGCTTTTTACCATTCACCTGCGCCACTCCCATTTCGCATTCAAATCAACTAGTCCGCCTTGATGGCACTATCGCACGTGTTAGTAGATTGCCTCAAATTGGACAGGGGGTATCGTAGGACGTTACCCGTATATTCTCCGCATAAATGCGTAGGTGCTCAGGAAGCCGACGGTGCCCGTCAGCAGCGCATAGACACAGCATGCAATGAAACTGTGGCTGAAGAAGAGCAGGCTGCTCACAAAGCCGGTGATGTGCAGCTTCGCAAAGTAGTACCAGATGCAGTACAAGAAGACCCATATCGCGCTGCCGCCACCCACCATAAAGGACTGCCACCACCAGTGGTAGTTCTCTGAGCACAGCTGGATGTAGATCGTGATGACAGTCACCTCGGCAATGGTCAGGATCAGAATGGTCGACACGACGGCCAGGAACCCGAATACGTAGTAGTAACCGCTCTTGTCCTGCCACAGCGACTGGAAGACAAAGAGAAGCTCGATGAAGATGACGGCAAACGGAATAAGACCGGCGAGCAGCACGGAGCGGATGTCGCGAATGTACCACGCCTGGCGGGGGATCTGGCGCGGCACGGCGCTCGTCTTGGTCGGGTGCTCCCAGGGGCCGACGCGCACGTAGCCGTACCAGGCGCCGGCATAGACGAGGGGCATCTGGATGCAGAGCCACAGCACCAGGATGCCGACGAGTGTACCAAAGGGAATGGCAGTGCTCGAGGCTTGGGCCCAAACGAACAGGTTGAGCACAAAGACGGCACTGAAGATCAGACCCGGGAACAGAATGGCCGTCACAAACGTATTGCGGCGCCAGTTCTGGCCGTCAAAGGTCCGGTACACGCGTGCAGAAAAGTAGCCCGAGAAGACACCGGCAAACACAAAGAGACCGACACCGAAGCTGATGAAGCCGCCGCGGAAGCTGGGGTTGAGCACACCGACAGCGCTCAGGAAGACCAACCCAAATGCCATAAAGAGAAGCTGCATGCCAGAGCCAATCAAGGGAGCCAACAGGGAGCCATAGGCCGGCTTCCGGAAAACATCGCCGTGCAGCAGCTTCCAGCCGGTGACGTCCTCGAGCGCCTCGTCGTCCGAGGACAGGACGTCGGCGTCGAGGGCGCTCATGTCGACACTGCCGCCACCGTCTTGGTCGAACAGACCGCCCGAGCCGACACCCACGCTGGACACGGGCATCTTCTCCCCGCCGGTCGGTGTTGTAGAACCCGCTCCGGAACCAGCCGTGCCGGCCGTGCGCCGGCCGCGGCGTCTGCGGCCCTTGCCCTCCTCGACCGCAGCGTCCTTGTAGCCCTTGATGTCGCTGCGTATCGTCTTGGCAAAAATCATGAGCACAATGCCGGTCAGCAGGCCGCAGATGATGAGCGAGTTGATAATGGCCAGCCAGTGGATCTTGGAGCCCTCCTCCTGGTTCACAAAGTACAGGTCCCAGCGGCGGCTCCACTCGACCGAGTTGTCTTCCTGGAAGTAGACTGAGTAGGTGTAGGGGATCGACAAGAGGGCACCGTCGTCCTCGTCGATGATCTCGTCAGCCGGATTGGGGCGGTACGACGACTTGGCGTAGCGATTGGGGTCTTCGGTGGAAGTGCGGTTGGGGGCGAGGTAGAGCTCAAAGTTCTGGTCAATGTTGCGCAGGCTGGCGGGGCAGCCGCTCTCGAGCCGGCGGTTGCTGGGGCCAATGCTCTTGCTGTACACCTCGAAGCCGACAATCACCTTGTTGCCACGGTCGCCCGCCCGGCCGGGAGCCTTGCGGTAGCGGAGGACGATGGTGTGGTGGTTGTTCAGGAAGTACCGCGACCGGCCGGAGGACGAGTCGGTGAAGCCTAGCTTGAAGCCGGCGGCGTAGTACTTGCGGGTCTTGTCGACGGTGACGAAGCTGGTGGCGCCGGGGAGGTTGTCGACGATCCACTCGACGACGTAGCCGTCGCGAACCATTTCCTTGGCGCGGTTAAGCTCCCTGCGAGAGATTTGGCGCGTGCAGAGGTAGCTGCACTCCTTGTTCTGGCCCACGCTAATGTCGATGTCGGAGGTCGAAATGCGGTCACCGCGCAGTACCTCGCCGATGTTGAGAGGGATGCTCTGGCCGCTGAGGAGCCCGCCGTAGCGGCGCTGACCCGTCGGTGGGCAGACGAACGGAAGGTCGAAATAGGCATACTGCAGCTGCGTGTTGTCAGAGTACACCTTGTTCACAAGCAGGGGAATCTGCTCCTTGTCGCCATAGCTCTTTATAGACCAGCCTGCGAAAGTAGCGTTAGCAAGTGAACGCCGCGGGACAAATGACAAGACGGCGCCAAAGCGACAGCCTACCAGGAATGTAGAATGCTTCAGCGAGACCACTGAAGACAAGCAGGAGCGGTAGCAACGCAACCACTCGCAGAGCGCGCATGTGACGGAGTTCGGTGAGCATGATGGCGGTGTGGCGGCGAGCAACTCGCCAACAAGGACGAGTTGATCAAGGTAAGGAAGCAAGGGCCAGGCAGCTAGATGCGCGGGTTGCTGGCCGCGGACAGAGTTGAGAAGAGGTTTGAAGGAATTCGAGATAGGCTTGACGAGTGGATAACGCGGCAATCGTAGAGCCGGTATGGTCGAGAGGATGGAAGAAAAGATGAAGACAACTTCGATACCGAGGAGTGGCAGATGCGGGAACGGCGTTTTTCTAACTGCACCGACGCGAGATGTAATTGTAATCGAGGACGAGGCGGAGGGAGTGTCGAATGGGCCACGGCTCGAAGGTGTTATCGTGGAATGGAGCTAGATCTGCATGAGGAAGAACAGGAAAACGAAACGAAAGGCAGAAGTAAAGGTGAAAGGGACGTCAATCCAAAATGAACGAGCGAGCGGAATCGGTACAGAGCACCAAGGGAAAGAACAAACAAGCCAGTTTGGGCAGCTTACTCCGTACAAAGGGAAGGTGCCGATGGGAAAACTGGAGATCAAAGGGAAGGAGTATGGGAAGGGGGAAGGGATGCAGGTCGACGGAATGCACGTCAGTTTCCCTCCTATGCGGGCCAGACGGCAAGAGCACAGGGATGGCTGGCCGAGAGGAATCAGCCGTGGGGAAGGTGTTGGTGGCCACGCTTGCCCGTTGAAGCTGTGCGAGGTCCAGGTATCTTTGGCCCGTTTCGACCCTGCCTGGGCCCTGAAGAGCACTAACTTACCACGATTGATACGCTGATCTGCCCCTGTTTCGACCTGGTCTTGCCCCAGAACGCGAAAACGCGGCAAGCTTAGAGGCGGTTATGACGCGTTAAGTGGTGCTTCTTTTGAAAATATGCACAACGGCTGTTGCACGACCACAAACCGACCACAAGTTGAAATCAGAAGCCTAGCTTTTAGGATCACGACATCTGTTGAAGGAGTACAAGCTGACAAAAAGTAACATAATAGAGAGGATGCTAGAAACGCACGATAAGGCCGTCCATTTAGCCGACAACGCAAGTCTCTCCCGAAGCGGCCGGGTTTCCGGCACCTGGCAATCAGGATAGTGGGAGGAGGATCGAATGCCCGGGAAAAGGCAACATGACACGGGCTGGTCCGTGTCTGTGTCGGAAAAGGGTCCAGTACGTTCCCTTGGGCTGTTGGAGCTGGTGCAATGCCGGAGTTGACAGCCTTTTGCGATCGAGAAGCATGAGACGGGGCCGGAACCGGTACCGCGAACTGCTACCGTGACTGGGAATTGGAGCAATTGAACTAATAACCAATGAGGGCAGATATGGCAAGGCTGAACGAATTGGACTGAGGAGCTTCGCTGTAAGCTGGTGATGCCTCGATCTGCATTGCTAGCTTGGACTTGTGGTATCTAGAAAGTAAAGCAGCATGGCGCCAACGGCCAACCAACTGGCAGCTAGGTCCCACCGACATGTGCATTTACACTCCAGACATGTCCAAGACGAGTACTTACAATATAGTCGTCGATGCGGTAAATGCTTTCATCACATCAATTAGTAAGTGAGAACTGTTGAAAAAATCTTAAATCTGTTTAGGGTCTGTGTTAGTAACACCTTTTCTATAGACTGTACTAGAAGCAAGTTCGCATCGGGACCCGGATGCTTCATGTAGCAAAATATTTCTTTAATTTAGACGTTGACGGAGTATCTTTCCGGAGAAAAGAGAATAAACAAACCGGACAAGCAATTCAAGAGAGAGGGATAACTCTTAACACTGCCAATCTACCAGATTTCCCATCTAGGATATGATGACATGGCAACATGTGTCCACGATTGCTCCTGTCTGGCCAGTTGATTTAGCGCCCTTTCTTTCTTCATTCGCTTCTTGTATATAGCGATGGTGGAGATGTAAACACCAAACTTGCATAGGACACTTTTAGCATACGGCACTCAATTACACTTGAAGAAGAAGAAGGCTGCTGTCGCTGCTCGGTTGGCCTATGAATGGATCAGGGTTCTCTCATGTATGATTTGGCTGCTCACATGGCCGGTTTCTGAGAGCCAGTGATGTAGACGAATTGTCTGGAATCCGGGCTGCGAGTCTCCATGTCAGCCCCGTCTATATAAATAAATCCACGATCGAACCTGAAATAAACATATATAAAACTGAGTGTCCGGACGCGGACGCGAACGCTTCTCCTTGATGTGACGCGCATCATAGATAGTGATCGGCCTCGGTGCAGCCGTCGTCAAAGAGCCGCTTCGCTCTGGTTCAGCCTCGCAATTCCTCCGTTCAGGTTCTCAGAAATGCAGCTGCCTGGCGGTCTTCTTCGAAGTTGGTGCAAGGATGGACGTGGGCTAAAACGGCGCTGAACCATTCCGCTTTGGGCTGAATGCTGCGAGTGAAAGCGCTGTTTGATTCTTCCCTGCTTGTTTTCGGAGAAAGACCCCTTCTGAGAAATATGGGTGCCTAGCCTGGAAGGGGTCGCTTTTGAGTTTTAGCTTGCGTGGCGGCCGCCAGGCTGGCCCACACGGACGCTGCAGCTCTGCATATGGGCTAAGCCGGCTTTGATAGCGGTCGTTGCTGGAGTCCTCAGAGACCACAGGGAGGGAGCAAAAAGGGTGTCCGCGGGCTGCGCCTCTGCTTTATCTGGGTCGAATCAGCTGTTATCTTGGGTCGCTCTATCCAATTCGCAGGTGTGTTGGTACATAACAAACGCCAGCTCCGTTTTTGTTGCTTCTTTCCATTATTGGTTTTGTCACACGATACCTCCTTCTTTCCCATAGCGAAATAGCAATTGCAGAGGAAGGATCGAACCTGATTGAAAGAGCTTCGAGGAAAGAACTACGAACAGACGCGGAAGCCGCGACGGAGCACATCGTTGCACAAAAACCACCGAGTGCCCCTCACCTGAGCGGCCTAGTTCTCTGAGCTGCCTCTCCTTACGTTTCCTTCATCAGCAAGACACTTGGAAAACCAACCAAAGAACAATGCCTTCATTGCGGTCTGCCAGCACCGAAAAGGGCCGGCTTGCAGAGCACTACAACGGCCTGGCTGCTGTGAACCACCAAGATGACGACGTCATTGGCAGCCCTGTCCGCAGCGAGTCCCTTGTCGGCGTGGAGAGCGACACAGATGACGAGACAACGACTCGAGGAGGGCCCTCTTCGTCTTCAGGGCCGGCCGACCACGCGCTACCAATTTACTCAGGGCCCGCATCACCCGCGCACGAGGCTGCCCTCGAACGGCAAGATGGCAGTGCTGCCGCCGCAGCCGTCGTGGCGGCCAAGAAACGCCCCTTTCCTCGATACCCGGGCCTGCCGTACGTCGACTACCGCGTCTACTCGCCGCCACTCTTCGATCTGTCTCTCGACAAGACTGTCCTCAAGTCGTCCGCGCCCTACCTGTCGGCTACCGCATCGGCCCTCGCCAACCTCATCCGCACACAGGCCACTGTTCCGCCGAAGCCGCTGATTCACATCCAGGGCACCCGCGGCAGCAAAGTGGACTTTTCCGTCAAGGCCAATCTCATGCACCTGCTCCTGTCCGAGGACCCGCGGCGGCGGATGAACTACGTGCGCTGCGTCGGCCGCGGCGAGCTGGCCTTGCGCGGCGGCAACGCCAACAAGCCGTCGGCCCAACCCGACATCGAGAGCAGCGATGCCGGCAGCGCCATAGACGCCTGGTGCCGGCGCTTTGTGGAGGACCAGTCGTCCGTCAAGTCCTTTGTCTTTGAGCGACAGGTCGCCAACATGGACATTGGCTGGCTCGAGGGCCAGATTCGCAGCCTCGTGGCCACGACGGGCTACAAGGGCGTCGTCACTGTGACCTTCCCCGTGACGCACGCGCGGGTGATTGTGCAGAACCCCGACAAAGTCAACAAGTTCTTTACGTCCGTCGCCACGCTCTTCACCGGCAAGAGCACCTACGAAGTTGTCAAGGCCGTGTGGCCGTTTGCAACGCACAAGCCCGGCGACCCAGCACGCAAGTTTGCTGTCCAGAGCGAGGAGATGTGGTGGAAGGAGTGGCGCGACCCGATCCGCTACGCGATCAGCACGAAGCGCACAGGCTGGGTGACGAACGAGGACAAGCTGGAGGCGCTTATGGAGGGCGTCGGCCGCAACATCACGACGGTTGAATGGGGTAGCGAGTACAGCTGAAGTCCCGGCGGCTTCGACCTCTGCTGTTTGTCTCACCTGCCAAGTCTGTCAGGCATGTGGACTTGCAACTTAATTATTGGTTTTTTTTGGTATTTTCGCTTGTCATCTGTGCGATTGGTAAAGAATTGGATATCGCGGCACATCACCATTCTTAGCGACGGAGTTGGTTCATAATATATTGGGTAATATTTGCATTTCATGTTTTATTACGATGTGGACCTTTTTGTTTTCATTCGATTTGCCTCTGCTTTTTTGTCAAAGTACAACCGTTGCTGAGAACAGAAACGCTGTGTTGGTAACTAACTACACGGCTGCGCCTCGACCCATTCTCCGCAACATCCTGGACGAACTCCTCTGTCGACCACTCGACTCGCACATCCCTGCACGATTCGTGCTTAGCCACGCTCTAATCGTTCAACTCCATTCCTTTGACTCACACATTCTGCCCCGTCTCGTTTGCAGTATTTGAATGTGTGCTAACTCGTTCGTTCAACGCTCTATCCAGCACACTGCGCGAGGTATTTTGTCTCCTTGAGTCACTGTCCGGCCCCAGCGCCAGCCACTACAATGTTTAACAAGCAAGACGAATGAAAATGCCACAACTCTGAATCCAACGCCGATTGCAGCCTTGTCCTCAAAAGGCACATTTTCGGGAGCTAGTGCATCTGTGGAGAAGCTGCACGATGCAGCGTTAGGGGACCGTCTGCCCGAAGATCTCAGTTTCGTGATGCCAAGCGGCTCTGTCTTCCGTCTCGTATAAGTAGGTTGTCCTGCATTTGGCCCGGGCTGAGACATGATAGCTACGATCAACAAGAAGAAAAGGAAGACGATTTCTCACGAACAAATTCACAAGCGGTTTCACTTGGTTTTTCACTTGCATTGTTCACTTTCACTTTCAGTTTCTTCTCTTGACCTCTTCCCCATATACTGCAGCCCAATTTCGCTTCAACAAGTTTTACTGGCCAATCATGGCGAATCTAGAACCCGACGCACGGGGCATGTCATTTGCCCTGAATTTACACGCAACGGCGTTGTGTTTTATTCCACCAGAGAGCGAGTGGCCACCGGTTGATCGTCTTCGCACTCTTTACGACAAGGCTGCCCGCAAGTGGCCTCCCCATGTCAACCTTGTCTACCCTTTTGTGCAGCCCGAAAGTCTTGATGCTGCCTCGCAACGCATTCAGTCCTTTTTGAAAGATGAACCAGAAGACCCCATCCACTTTCATCTTAACACAGCCGGCGTGTTTGCCCAGCGCTATGAGAAGACCCTCCACCTGAAAGATGGCGACGAAGGCAGTTGCATTGAGACTCTGCGCCATCTGCGCTTCCGGATCGTAAAGGCCCTGGCAGGAGGTGATGCGGCCAAGGAAGACTACGACTCTAACAGCTACCGGATGCACATGACGGTGGCACAGAGCAACAACAGCGCATCAGCGAACTACACGGCTGCGGCCGAGACAGACGTTGCTGCCGGCGCAGCCGCCACACCGGACGACACACATGGCCATGCGCACCGCTTCTTGCTGCACAAGGTCGAGCGAGTGCCGCCCGTCACATGGACGGCCGACCGGCTGCACATTGTGGTGCGCGAGCGGCTCACAAAGACACGAGGCAATCGTAGAGATGCGGAGGTCGTCGCCACATCAAGCCGGATGCGCTTATGGGGTGTCATCTACTTGGATGACGGGCGGATCGAGAAGCTCAGCCCGACACAGACGTTTTACGACGAGTTGCCGTTCGACGCAGACAGAATATCCGGGGACGTTGAGACGGATGACACGGGCAACATGGACGCAGATCAGGAGCGTGACAGCGAGCTGCCTGCCTTCCAGTGTGTCACTTTTGCTCCAGAAGACAGCGAGTGGATCCGCTGCTTGGATGAGCACGACCTCTACACCTCGCTTCCCTCCGTTTCACCCACCCCCGGCGCGCTCTCGGTCGCCACATACAATGTCCTGGGCGAATTCGAGTGGCCACCTGTGGAAGATCGTTTCCCCCTTTTGATTAAGAACTTGCTGGCCACCACTGCTGCGGCGGACGTGCTGGTCTTGCAAGAAGTGACTGACCACTTTCTCACCGCTCTGCTGGGTGACGACGGCATACGGTCTGCGTATCCCTTTGCCTCCCACGGTCCTCCAGACCAGGAAGACATGGAACCGCTGCCGAGTTTGCTGAACATGGTCGTGCTGAGCCGGCGGCCGTTTTCCTGGTCGTGGCTGGGCTTCCACCGAGCTCACAAAGGCGCATTAATTGCACGATTCGATCGAGAGGACGGCGACGTAGAAGATGATAACGACGACGAAGACGGGGACGAAGACGGCGAGAAGTACGGTCTCGTTTTGGCCACGGTCCATCTCACCCACGGCCTCACCAACGGCTCGGTCGCCAGCAAACGTGCGGAGCTGCAGCGGTTATTTGGCCATTTGGAGCGGTACTACCCGTCTCATCGCGCCGATGCGGTTGTGGTTGCGGGTGACCTCAATATCCACTCCTCGTCCTTTGCCATAGACGCGGCCATTCGCCGCAAGGGCATCTCAGCACAGACCGCGCGGTACGTTGAAACTGGATTCGACGAGCTGTTTGCCCAATACGGCTTCACCGACACATATTGCGCGACACAGACGCTCAGCAACATCCATGGCCATGACGACGAAAGGCCCGCGTCGGACGAAGCGAAGCACGATCTGCGGCACGACAACGGCGACATTCCCTTGTACGACGGCGAAGAGGGTGCGACATACAACCCGTTCACAAACGCGCTCGCGGCTCGAATTGTTGGCAGTGGACTCAATACGCGGCCGGAACGCTTCGACCGTATTTTGGTTCGCGGCGGTGCCAAAGACTACATGAACGAGCATGACGGCGACGGCCAGGAGGACGAATATGGCCAAAGCCGGTATCGTATTGCTGGCTACAACTCGTTTGGATTCCCTTCTGCCAGCATGGACCACAGCTCTGCGAGTGCTTACGCAAGCGACCACTGGGGCATCCGCTGCTCCTTTGAGCCTGCTGGCGATGACGACGAGGAGGGCGACGATGATACCGCAGCCACGACACTGGCCATCGCCAAGGAGGCTGTCGCGGCCGAAGCCGATCAGCCAGATATTTCCGCTGATATAGAGAAGCTGATTGTACCTGTTCTGCCCCTCCGTACTCCTGCTGGACCTCTCGTCGATGGCGGTACTGCCGCTGTCACTTCTGCACTCACGAAGCTCGATGTCATCCCGTCGGACGACGACATTTCCCGCCGTAAGGCCGCCTTCGACCGCCTCAAGGCTATAATCCTGGACGAGGAGGCTGGCATAGAGCCTGCAAAAGCCAACGTCAGGCCCCGTCAGCTGGTTGTTGTTGCCGTTGGGTCCTACGGCCTCGGTGTCTGGACCCCGTCCTCCGACATGGACTGTCTCTGCATCGGCACGTTTGGCTCACAGACTTTCTTTGCTTTGGCTACACAGAGGCTGCGAGCGGCTGGTATTGCTGCCGCTGGTGCAGGCGGCGATGCAGCGGACGCCGTCAAGATTATCCGCCGTGTTCGTGCTCACACCGGCACGATGCTGGAGCTCGAGATCAACGGCATCCGTATGGACCTCCAGTACTGCGGTGCCGCCATCATCGCTGAGACCTGGCCTGCCGTACTCGTGCTGCCGCAAACGCACCCCATTTTTGCACTTTCGCCTCAGACTCTGTCCAAGCTCAAGGCAGCTCGCGACCTCTACTATTTTCGCAAATCGTTCCCGGACATGGCCGCCGACACTACCAACATTTGCTCAGCCAGCAACTTCCGCACCGCCCACCGTGCCATCAAGACCTGGGCACGCGCCCGGGGCCTGTATGCCGCACGTTTTGGCTACCTCGGCGGCATCCAGATCGCGCTCCTCCTGGCGCGCGTTATGAAGCTGATGCAGCGTGCAGTCGACAAGGCTACGGAGGACGTTTGTGATGCCGCGTCCGACACTGCAGAGGAGTACACTGTTGCCGATATCCTAGTCACCTTCTTCCAGCACTACGCCGACTTTGACTGGACGACCAAGATGGCGTTCGATCCCTTTTTCCACAACCAAAAGGCGCCGTACGCCCCGTCCAGCCGCGAACCCCTGGCCATTCTCGGCTACCACCGCCCGCAGCTCAACACCAGCATGGCCGCCTCTGTGCCTTCGGTCCGCGTTCTTTCGGAGGAATTCAAGCGGGCCGCCAGTCTGTTGCGCGAGGGCAAGGACGGCTTGACGTGGTCGGCCTTCTTTGATGGTGGACGTTCCACGATCCCGCCGGCCCTGCCTGCTGGTCCAGCCGAGTTTGTCCGTGCCTACCGCTCCTACATCAAGCTGGACCTGCAGTACTGGGGGCTGTCGCTGGCGCGCGGATCGGCGTTTGTGGGCTGGCTCGAATCGCGGTGCGTGCTGCTCTTGGTCGACCTGGCCCGGCGCCTGCCGACTCTGAATGCACGCATCTGGCCTGGCCGTTTTGTTCAGGCGGAAGAGGAGTCTGGAGCGAAGGCAAAGAACACGGACGACGTCGACGAGACCCGCCAGTACCAGGGCTGCTACCTGGTCGGTCTCGACCTTCCGGCGACCATGACGCGTGACGAGCGTCGCATTGCCCTGGGGACGCTGCAAACGATCCTAGCGCACTTTGAGAAGCAGATCCGGCGGGGCGGCGATGGTCACACGAACGTCGACCACTTTGACCCGCAGTGGCAGTGGATCGATGTGAGCGTGGCCAACCGTGCGGATCTGGGCAATGTAGACCGGCTGCGCCTCGACGACCGTGCCTGGGGCCAGTACACTCCCGGCGACGAGGAGAGCGACGATGACGACGATGAGGAGGAGGCGGAGGAAGGGGCGGGGGATAGCGAGGAGAGCGGCGGCAAGGACGACGAGCGGGCGACGCACAATGAAGATGGCGAGAAAGTCGAGTCCGGCGAGGAGGGCACAACCAAGAAGGGCAAAGGCGGCAAGAAGAACGCGAAGAAGCTGCCCTTGGCCCTAGCGCACCGTCCTGGTGGCGGCAAGTTCCGCACCGCACAGGATGTCATCAAGCGCCTGCGCTGGGACCCGCACCTTGACCGCAGCGACTTTATCGTGGGCTACGAGGACCGGTTCCTGGGCGCGCGTGAGCGGCCGCTGGAGTCGTGGAAGTCGGAGCAGACGCACGAGGAGTTCATCCCGCAGCACCGGATCCTGTACTTTAAGCGACGCAGCGACGGCGTTGTGGTGTGGGACAGGCGGACACGGAAAGACGACGTGTTCGGGAGTGGTGTGTCAGGAGCTGCCTAATGCATGGCATAGTAAATAGCGAATGTGTTGTGTACAATGGTATTTTGTTCTCGAAAACAAACGTAAATGCATGAATGGACTCGAATCCATTCTGGGGTATCTGCAAATGCTCATGGCTATCGCACATCGCCAAGTATGCCGTGTTCTGCAACAAAATACAATACAAGAACCCTTTCAACAACAAATTTTCTTCACAGTTCATTCGCTTGCCTCACTTCTTCCTTGGCAATCTTCTGTGCCTGAACAGCTGCGCCCTCCCACTCGGCCTCGTACTGCAGCTTATCGCGCCAGTCACTGCCCGTCGCGATAATCTCGTCGACGGGGTAGCGCCGCGCATCGGCCGAGAAACCTTCGACGTGCGGCGGTACATTTTCGTTGAACTGGTCCAGTCCCGTCTCCGGCGGCGGCCGCTGCCCAAGAACCGCCCACAAGTACAATTCGTCGCGACGGCTTGCGTGCTCATCGACAGCACTCGCGTATTCCTCCTCCTTGAGCTCGTCCCGGATGCGGTTCCTGAGGCTGGTCTCGGCCCACGCGGCGGTCGGGTAGCCGTTGGCAGTGTGGTGGATGATTTCGTTGGCCTCTGTCGTTACGCGCTGTTCCGTTGTGGCGGCGTTTGTGTCCCTCTCTTGACTTTCGTCGGTGTCATTACTGCTGTATTCGTTGCTCTCGTCGGTATCGCTGTAGTCATCAATGTCGCTCAAGCCGTCTTCTTCGCCAAGGCTACCTTCATCTTCATCAATGCCGAGTGATGACGGTTTCTGGTCGGCACCGTCCGGTAAAAGTTCTTTTTCGACTTCGCCGTATGTTGATATTATGTCGCTGTCGTCATCACTACTGCTGTCTTGTGAGCCCTCCTTGTCGTCAGAGCTTCCTTCTGCATTGTTTTCGGAAACATCTGGTGCTGAGCCGGCAGCGGCGGCGGTCCGAATGCCGGAGCTTTGCATATCAGCAAACGGTATGGCCGTTCTCCTCACATTCAAGCCCAGTCGCCGTGGACAGCGGGCCCAGAAGACCTGGCTGTCTTTCTTGAGGCCTAGTGACGCAACGGCTGCACGAACATCTCGGGGTCGTACGAGCTTCTTGACGCTACGTGGGAGATGCCGCTTCGCCTGGTCGCGTGATCGGCAGAAGTGCATGGCCGTGGCCGCTAGCCGTTGTGTCAGCGCGTACACGAGTGCGTAGAGGTCGTGGAGAGCGGACATGTGCATCGCCGGCAGTGCGTCTCCTAGGCCCATGTAGTTGGCGTCCTCTTCGGTGCCGTTCATGAAGACGCGCTCGGACAGCAGCAGCATGGTCCGCACGTCGAAAAGAGTGAGCATAGGGACCGAGTTGGGATGCATCTGTGCACCCAACTCAGCCAGCCGCTCGCCTTGGGGACCGCCGATTGGCATGGGTGACTGGTTGCTGGCCTCGTCGTCACCGGGCATACCGGCCATTTCCAAGGCGGCCTTGGACAGGGCGCGGCAGTTGTCGCCCGTGAGGAGCCACTGTGGACCCCATTTGCGCTGCTCGGCTTTGGCGTCCTGTTGGAATTCGCGCCGTGCAACTGCGTCAGCCGTCTTTTGAAGGGCGTCGCAGCAGGCCTTACCGATTTCGGTTGCCACTGGGATGTCGGAGAGCAGCGGACGATGAAACGGCGCCCGGGGATCGCGTTTGCGGGCTTGTACATTTTCGTCCAGTACATGCTTGTAGTGGCGCACCTCGATCTCGCTCTTCGACCCCAGGAGACGGGCAGCGATGCCCGGAATATCATCACTGCCAAGCCGGGCTAGGGACTCAAAGAATATTTCCTTTTCTTCGGCGGTCCAGACGGTCAATCCAATCTGCGTAGTCGACAGCTTCGTCCGGTCCTCCGCAACGTACTTTCGGCGGGCGTCGTCCATGTCGTCCTCGAGAATCTCAGTGTAAAGCAGATTGACGGAGCTCTTGGCTCGATTTAGCTTCTTGTTTTGCGGTTCACTGTCGTCGACCAGTGGTGTTGAAAACGTGCGCTCACGAGTCCGCTTCTGGCCGGCTCTGAACGCGGATGCCGATCCTTCGTCTTCGTTTTCGTTTTCGTCTTCGTCGTCGTCTTCGTCTTCACTTTCACTCTCGCTTTCGCTGCTGCCGTCATGGGCTTCAACATCGCCCAATCTGACGCTGCCGTCCTCTTCCTCCTTGACCCCGGACACAGCGGGTTCGGGAGAAGGTTCCGAGTCGGAGGGCCGGTAGTCACTGCTTTCTGACTCTAGTTCTCGGCGGCTCCCCACTAAGTCGTCTTCTCTCAAGGGCCATTGCTGCGTGTCGACAAACTCGACGGTCTCTGCCAATTGGTGTTGTAAAAGCCCGTCGTCGTCTTCGTCATCTTCTGGCCGGCTCCTGTCAGACATGGCCACGCTCCCGGCCCTTGGCCGCAAGGTATATGATGACAAGGGTTGGGCATATGGTTGCCGCGACTGTCCGTCTGCGTTTGGTGTCATCGTTTGCCGTGCACTCCGAGATTGAGAGGGTGACGAAGTTTGAGATGCTATAATGCTATAGCCACAGTGCCTTGCGCCGGGCTATGTCGTTGATCTCCTCCCTTTAAGCCTTATGAGCTGCTTATTATACGGCATGATCGGCCGGTATCCCTTGAAAAAGAAAAAGCTCATACACTGTCGGCTATCGCCGCCCGAATAATCTCGTCGCAAGTTGTTCGTAGTCGTTTGATGTGGACTTGAAGAACTCTGAGCTATTGCTTTTAGTGGAGTAGATGACTTAGTGCTTGTTGGTCCCTGAGAGCTGCAAGGTCACAGTGATGTGAATGAGAAAAAGAAGGTCCGTCCGCTTTGTGCACGTGATATCGCGTACATCAAAATGTATGTGAGACCAGCTTCGCATTTCGACACCCTCACGACGCGTTGTGATAATTGAATTTGTCGGCAAACGAAATTCAAAGGAGCGCGTATGATGCAATGCTCGGAAAAGGACGCTGGCGGGTCGCATGGCGCACCCTGTCATCCATGTCACAGCCAAGACGATGGCAGGGCACAACCGCAACAACCACAGCAGCCAAGGAGCAGCTGTCGAAGTTCCTGCTTCGTGATTACCAGGAAGAGTGCATCCAGTCTGTCCTAGCCTCGCTCGACAAGGGCCAGAAGCGGCTCGGAGTGTCTCTCGCAACGGGCGCTGGCAAGACGGTCATCTTCACTCAGCTCCTTGACCGCATCCAGCCCGCCTCGGCCGATGCGAACCAGACGCTGATCCTGGCGCACCGACGCGAGCTCGTCGAGCAGGCTGCACGCCACTGCACGCGCGCCTATCCAGACAAGACGGTCGAGATCGAGATGGGATCCCTGCATGCGAGCGGTGTGGCTGACATTACCGTCGCAAGTGTACAGTCCATCACGTCGGGACACCGCATTGCCAAATTCGACCCGTCGCGCTTCAAGCTCGTGCTTGTCGACGAGGCTCACCACATTGTGGCGCCGGGGTATATGCGTGCCCTCGGCCACTTTGGGCTTGCCGACAAGGAAACGTGCCAGCAGCCCGGCATACCAGCGCTTGTCGGTGTCTCGGCCACCTTTTCGCGTTTCGACGGTCTGGCTCTTGGCGCCGCCATAGACGAGATCGTCTACCACAAGGACTATCTCGATATGATTGGTGATGGCTGGCTGTCTAATGTCATCTTCACGACGGTCGAGTCGACGGCCGATCTGTCTCGCGTGCGCAGCGGTCTTGGCAAAGACTTTCAGGCTGGAGACTTGTCGCGGGCTGTCAATACGGAACAGGTCAACGAGATCACAGTCCGCACGTGGCTTGCCAAGTCGGCAGCGACAGAGACGGCACCGGCGCGGAAATCGACGCTCGTATTTTGTGTGGACCTCAACCACGTCGCGGACCTGACAAACACATTTCGCAAACACGGCATCGATGCTCAGTTTGTGACGGGCGACACCGATAAGAGAGAGCGTGGCAGCCGACTCGAGGCGTTCAAGCGGGGCGACTTTCCTGTGCTGGTGAATTGTGGCGTCTTTACCGAGGGCACCGACATGCCAGGCGTGGACTGCGTCATTTTGGCACGGCCGACCAAGTCTCGAAACCTGCTGGTCCAGATGATCGGTCGCGGTATGCGGCTCCACAAAGGCAAAACAAACTGCCATGTCATTGACATGGTGTCGAGTCTGGAGACCGGTATTGTCACGACGCCGACACTGTTCGGCCTTGACCCTGGCGAGCTGCTGTCCGGTGCCTCGGTGGAAGACATGGCCGCCATAAAGGACAAGAGAGAGGAAGATGCTGCGCGAGATGCCGTCGCGGAACGAGGAGGGTTTGGTCGCAGCTCGTCGGCGACCAACGTCCCAATCAAGAGTGTCAGTTTCACCGAGTACACTTCCGTGCTGGATCTTATTTCGGACACATCAGGCGAGAGGCACATCCGAGCAATTAGTGAGCATTCCTGGGTGCAGGTGGGCAAGGACCGCCATGTGCTCTGCGGGCCAACAGGCACGTATCTGCGCATTGAGAGACTGGGCGGCGAGGCAGACGATACACCGGATGGCCTTGCTGATCCTGACGATATTGAATATGACATGGCGATGAACAGTGGCAAGAAGGGCGGCAAGGAAGAGTGCCAGTTTCGCGTTGTCGAAGTGCGTGCCCTGCCTGCAGGATTGTCCAAGTCACCGTTTGCTGCACCACGAGAAGTATGTCGCGGTGTGACATTTTCTGATGCTGTGCATGGCGCAGACAACTATGCCTCCAAGATATTCCCTCGAGCGTTTATCCATCGATACCAAAACTGGCGCAAGGGTCCTCCAACGCAAGGGCAGTTGGACTTTGTCAACAAGATTCGGGGGAAAGGCGAGGAGAAGCTGACTGCCGAGGACATTGACAAAGGAACGGCCTCGGACATGATTACAAAAATCAAGCATGGGGCGCGGGGTCGATTTGCGGACATCGATGCTGGCCGTCGGCGCAAGGAGAAGAAAGAATCCGCACAAGAACGCGAAAGGATCCAGAAGCAGCGTGAGCAAGTCACAGTCGGCCCATTGGCAGCATAAGTATTGATACCACTCACTTGAATTAGCTATAAATGCATTCCACACCTCCCTCCCACGACCCAAAATAAAGGGGGAAAATCTTGCACGGAACGCCTGTCACCATTTAAACTTGCAGATGCTGGATGTGACGTGACGTGGGTGTACAAGTGGCTTGAATTTCCTCAGTCGAGTTGCACCTATAGGACGGAAGCCCTTCGGCAGCCGATAATTGACTGGGGCTTCCCAATGTTTACTATCGTATCCTTGCGCGCCTTGATACAGTCGAATCTTTGCTGGTCGACGTATCTGGACGACTGGGAGTCTCCTACTGAATCTGGTATCGGACATGACGAGAGAAACTGGCTGAGTACTTCCTTCTCGCTGACCTGTTGTGTATCCTTTTCGTGTTTTGGACACTTTCCCAGGTCAACTGGCTGGACCCCGTCAAAAAAAATAGCTTGGTCAACGTCTTTGAGCCTCACAACAGCAGGTATGATGAGTCCCCTCGGTTTCCAGGTTAAATTCTTCTCACGTCTCTAAACAGAGCCGTCTCCAACTCAGATTCTCGAAACCACAGATGCTTTGCTGCATCAACAGCAGTTGGCCTGTCTCGGGGCTTGAGACTCAAGCACGAAATGATGAAATCAACTCCGTGTTGTGAGATGGGCCCATTTTCTTTGCCAGAACGTCCAGCATTGACATTCACCACCATATTCTCGATTTCTTTGGCGCACGAGTTTTCGAATGGTGTGATGGCGACGCTATCGTAGCCTACCAGCAACTGTAAAGTGAGCACGCCGACTGCCCAGATATCAACGGCAACACCGTGCGGGCCCCCATCTATTTGAGCTTCTCTAAAGAGGTCAGCACAAGATTTTTGCTCTTGGCATACGGCTGTGGAAACAACGTACGGTGCTCGATAGATTTCACTTCCTACATCGGACATCATTCTACCAAGGCTTGTGACACCGGCACACCCAAAATCAGCGAGCGCGATACGGTGTTCCAGGTGTACGCTCGACGAACACAAAATGTTCTCTACCTTGATATCGCGATGCGCGACTCCTTTGGAATGGAGGTATCCGACTGCACGAAGAAGTTGAAGGACGATCCACTTGATTTCCAGAGCAGGGATTGACCTCTCACGCTCCAAGAGCGAGTATAGATCACCACCAGTGGCCAGATCACCGAATGTGAACCTGTTATGTCAGCAACCAGTAGCTAACTTACAATGTTAAGGATACTTGAGTCCTTACATAGTATTGTTCGTGTAAAAGGCACGTTGAAACGCAACGATGTTTGGCTATCGCGAAGGTTAGTTACAAATGCCAGGATGCGTTTAAGACGGTTACTTGACATACGTGGTCAAGTTGGCTCCAGATGGACATTTCTTTCTGGATGCGCTCGGAGACATCTCCCCAGATTCTTTTGAGGTACGGAAAATCGTGTATTTTACACACCACCTGCTGGTTTGTCTTGACGTTCATAGCCATATGAACAGTAGAAAAAGAGCCGTTGCCAAGAATGGTGTCCTTGATGAGATATTGATCTGCAAATTGCTGTATCAAGGCAGTTAGTACTTGCTGTCGTTGGCTTCCCTGTTCCCTGTTTCTTTCTCTCTTTCATTTTTTTTAAGAAAAAAAATTCTAAAGAAGATATGTGAACTTACCAAAGCCTCTTGCTGTTGAAGTGGGCTCAGCGCGGTCTCTTCATCTTTTGAAACAGGACAGGCACAGAGTCGAAGTGAGCAAGGTCCAGCTGTGACGACGTCGCCGTCTTCTAGAATCCAACCGGCAGTCACGAATGGTTTCTGGCCGATAAGCTGGCCGTTGACAAACGTTCCGAAAGTGGACTGACAGTCGCGAACATAGATTAAGGGCCGGTACTGCTCCGATTTATCAAACAGGATAGAGTAGATCTCGCAGTGGATTGATGAGACGGCTTTGCATTTGAACCGGAGATTACTGAGTTGTCAGAGGTTGAAGTGCGCGAAACGATTCCCACAGGAAACCCAATGACTATTGGCTTACCATGCTTTTGTATCTCTTCCAATTGTAATGACCTGATTCTTGAAGAAAGGTACCCTGACAACTGTTTTTCGAGTACATGTTCTCTGTTAGTTATTGCCTTTCCCACACGACGAGAGGTAAGCATATTACCGACTTTGCTTGAACTCGCCGAGAGTGGCACTTTCGATTTCGAGCCATGCCAGCGGGATGGATGGCTCTACATCTGTGCCTGATGGTTGTCCCTCGGCATCGGATGCCACTGAGGGCGTGTATTCGACGGCGTATGGCTCGGCCATGGTATGGAGATGTGTGAGAAGCAGCTGGATTTTATTTTTATGCAAACAACACAAATAACAGGAACGGGTTCAGGGGTAGTCACGACGTCTTATGCGTTAGCTAAGAGCATCTGGCTGATCTTAGAGGGAAGGAACGTGGCTGTTCTTTCCCAAACTGGCCCAGGGTCTACGGAGCAGGCAGGAGCGATCATGATGCGACGATGCCCGATGCTGCCCTCCGCAACATCAAGGGGACAACGGCATGTAATATGTAATATTCATATTGAGATTACAGATCAGAAGACGATACATTTACCTACAGCCTGTTCTTGAAGTTGGAATGCTGCGGCTCGTCTGGCTTTCTTGTCACGGGAGAAAGACTGGTGTGACTGCACAAGGTTGCGATAGAGCCGTCAAATTCCGTAGCAAAATGGCCAGCTCAGTCCAGCTGAGTCCTGACAGAGCTGCTTCTGAGCTTCGATTGGAGTCTTGGACTTCAATTGAGCTTCAGTAGAGCTTACGTGGGCAAGCTTTTCGGCAGTCTTGAGCTGCGCACACTAAACTTGCTGTACGTCTTAAATGGGTCGCACTGAAATATGCCTTAGAATAATACATATCGTGAATCCACACTTCACAAAAATCTGTCACGACTGTTTCGCCTAGCAGCTTATTTTCGAAGCAAAACTCTTTCAATTGTGCTATCTTGTCTTGTCGGCTAGGTTTTCATGTCCCCACGAAGTGGCAGGGAGAGGAAATGGACAGTGTGTCGGCGAGAAAGAATAAAGCTTCGATACGGTAGCGACCCGGTGTTTAAACACTTCCTTCGTTCCCTTGCGAGAGCTCTGGGAATCACGACTTTCTTCCAAAATTGTCCCAAAAAGTTTCGATCAGATCCGGCAGGAAATCCACCTCAGAAAATCCCGTTCCTCTGCCCCCATCCATTGTCCGTTTGTATGCACAGCACCAGCGGTGTTCCTCCGATTAGTTGCTCCGTAAAATGCAAGGTCGAATTTCCGAGTTCGTAATGAAGTGCGGCGTGTTCGCTTGCGGTAGCAGCGGTTCGAAGTTTGCTTGTTGTGTGCCGGAAGAGGACGGAAATAAAGAAGCGCAGGCTTCTCTGGCGCCAAATTGTCGAAGAGTGCTTAGCAGAAAATGCAGTCGCCCTCTTCATTGGAGTGAAGCTGCGGAGCTGACAAGAAGTCGTGTCGAGGGAAGTTGTTTATTTGCTGTCGCGTGTGTTAGCACTAGCTCTTCAGAAATACAGCGACATCGAAAAAGTTGGCATTCGAATCGACAGAGGGACGTATAACTTACGATCTGGCCCGCATCTTTCTCCGCTTACGCTTGAGACGACGAACGCGCTTCTTCCTCCACTTGGCTCTCATCTTGAACTATCTGTAAAGGTGGCGGTCAGCTTTGAAGCTCTCCAGAAATATTTTTGCCTGAACGGGCTGCTCGTGGCAGGTGAAAGCGAGGTCGAATGCCTGGTGGAGAGCATGCCGAGCAGCTCAAGTGCATTTCGAAGCCACCTGGAAGCGCAATTGAGGGCGTGGTACTCACTGGTTCTTGGATGAGAAAATTGTTGGTGTTGTGGTTTGGTTGAGGAAGGGAGGAGAGAAGGTTTCGAGAAGATCGAGGAGGGGACATAAAGTAACTATCGTTATTCAGGTTCTGGGTGACAGAAACTAAGGTGTGTGCCCTAAAGCCGCACCGAGAGTTAATCCGCCGGATCCCCGCACCCCTATGACATCAAGCGTTGCTGGGTGTGTCATGCTACCATACAGTGTATAGAAACGAGCAAGGTGCAAGCACTGCACTGTACACAGCTCAGTTCCCGTGATCGGTCATGTGCTTTAAAATTTTGGTTTGAGATCCACATTCACCGCCTTTTTTTGTTCAGCATTCTGCCGTCTTTTCGCTCGCAACTCGAATTTTGCGTGGAGAGCAACGAAATTTTCGAGCTAATAAAATCTTTGGGATGTTTTCTTAGGGACTTGTTACGCCGGCGACATTCACTGTTGGGAGACAACTCGACGTCAAAGCACGTAGCGCAAGTCAATGTCTTCACTCGTGCAGACCAACGCAATGTCAGTCGAAGGACTCAAGAAGCGGAAGAGAGATGGCGAGGCCAAAACAAAGAAGAAGGTCTCGATACAAGAGCCGTCACAACAATTGGGAGCATCGGAAATCCGCATCGCCAGTGTTGTGCAGCCTCAATTCGCAGCACCAGTGATTGGTATGGTTCACACAACTCTTCGGCCATGTGCCTGGAAAATTGCAGGACAGACATGCTAACGGGAGACTTTTATTTCAGCGACAACACCCGGACTTTGCGTCCCCGACGAGCTCCAGTTCGACAGCTTCACAAAAAAATCGTCAAAATCGTCGAAGCGGCAACGAACAACGGGCCCGTCCGCCGAGATGTTGCTGCACACGTCTAGCCACCGTTCCGTCGACTTTACGGCCAAGGAGGACAGTGTTGTTAGTGCCGACTCGTCTCTGCAGCATTACATTGGCATCTACGACCCGACCACCGGACAGCTCGAGGTGGTGAACGCAAAGAAGATGGAGATACGGGGTAACGTGCGGGCCCGGGACGCTACGGACGACCAGATGAAGGGTGTGCCCGTTCGCAAGGTATGCATTTGTTTTGGTCGCTGCTGCGACTGCTTGAAATTGCTTCAGTCAGGGCAAATATTAACACATGCCCCTTTTCTCTACAGACCAACTTGGACTTGAAGAACGACCTCGGCCAGACGTTCGGTACCAAAAAGGCAAAGAAGGCAATCCAGTCGGTGGCTGAGAACGCCATTGGCAGCCGGAGACGCAACGCCGACGGATCGTGGATCACAGAAGAGCTGAGCGCGGGCGACCGCGTGTTGATGCAGGACATGGCCAATTTCACGTCGACAATGGCCACACGCGACGAGCTGCAGGCTGTTGTTGACAAGGCGAAGCCGGTGCCCCGGGGCAACTACGAGGCCGAGGAGATCCAGGACGTGTACGTGCCGAGCCAGATTGTGGGTGCCGACGTGCTGGCGTCCATTCCTGTCCGCGACTGGCAGCAGTTGGCCAAGAACGGCGAAGCAATCGACGTCTTCTCGCGGTTTGTCGCACAACGTGTCGCAACCGTTGCCGCTCGCGACGACGCCCTCGACCACCTTCGCTTACTGCGGTACATGTACTGGATCATCCTGTACATCCAGGCGGCACGCCCTGGCAAGGAGCGCGGTACCAAGCGCCAGCTGCCCCGTGACAAGCTCAAAGAGATGATGGACGGTGCGCCAGACACCATCATCCAGCACATCCGACAGCGGTTCTCCGACAATGGCACGATCCGCAAGTTCCACAACGACCTGTTGATGACGCACTGCTGCGTGTTTGCATGCATCCTTGACAACTATGAGGTTGACACACTGGATCTGCGCGAGGATCTTAAGGTCGAGCAGAAGCAGATGTCGCAGTACTTTTCTGAAATTGGTGCCCGCATCAAGCCTGCCAAGGAGGGCGACAAGACCAAGATCATTGCGAAGCTGAAGCTTCCGCTGCAGTTCCCGAGAAGCGGGCGGCAGCGGGCGAGAAAGTAGGAAATTCGACGACCGGCCTACGCGTAGCAGCATAGTGATGATAGGGCGCGGAGGGGCCGCTGCATTGCGTTATCATTTTTGTTTATAGGGAGTTTTGGCATCTACAACACATATAGGTGGGTTGACATTTACGTATAGCATGCATTTCCAGCCCAGCTTGGGGACAAGCAAATGGATAAAGATTTATGATAGAATTAATTTCCATTGGCACTTTGGAACTCCGTAGCCAACCTCTGTTGACTGTTCATAGCTGGCTAGTGCTGTGAATATAGATGGATTTTGGTGTAGCCGATTTAGCGGCCTCTGATTGGTCAGTTGACATAAGCAAGACCTCACTTCTGATAACGTTGAGATGTCCGCATTACATGGCCACCACCTTGTGAAATTTGCAATCTGAAGACGATTCTGAAGTATTAGCACGGAATTTAGATAGTTTGCGTGTTATTTTCGCCAATTTATGTCCTGAGTGGTGAAGGACAACGTTGCTGCCAATACGTCCAAATGACCAAAACTAAGCGGCGAAAGGCTTCAAAATCGCAGAGTAAGCGGCGCGTAAATGCCCAATTTTGTACCCGCAACGGTCACCTCACGACGACCACTCTGGGGCTTCAAGGCACCCAAATCACGTCAAAACCTTCCTAGATCGTGCTTTGAGGTGCTTTTGGGCACTTATCTTCCACTTTGAGTTGCATCTCGCCGCGGCATCACCACGACCTCGCGGCGGCCCAAATTCGACTCATCGCCCACCTCGACTTACACGACGCAGCCACCACGCTGCCAAAGCCTCCCAAGCCCAACGCCCTCCACAGACATAAGCGGCCAAGGCTGGCCCCAGCCCTTTTCTGCCGACGGCCTGGCCCTCGAGCCGCATCGGCGCAGCCCCACATAGGTTGCCGAGCAAATGCGTGTCCAACTCTATTTTATTCTGCCCGCTCCGGTAGTAGCCTTGCCCACCCCCTGGCTATCATGAGCCATGACGACAATTCTTTGTTTTCTGCATCCGTCAAAAATCTTCCTTCATCACCACACAACCTTTGCAATTTGATGCCACCGCCCCAGCACAACACTGCCTTTGCACCGGCCAGCGCCCAGCATCAATCAATTCGTACGAGCAGTCTCGTTCTTTTTCGATTGACGCATTTCATCCAGACACGCGACATCAATGGCTGCGGGAGGGGGGACGAGTCGGTCATCGCCCCTTGTGTGCCTCAATTTGCGCGTCACGAAGCCCAAAAGAGGGGGCGCGAAGTAAGCCGCAAATGAGCAGAATGGATGCAGACAATGGCGAGTCGCAAGGCCTCTTGCCTGCGCACGGACCAAGTGCTAAATAGAAGCAAGGGGACAGTAGGCCTCATTCGTTTTTCATTGGCTATTCACGGTTCAAGGGACCCACACTTTTTCGCTCGCGACTTCCCACGCTTCCTCGTCTGCCCATTTCCTCTCCTTCCCTCGTTCGCCAGAGAAAAAGAAGTCTTTGTGGCGTTGCGCGACATCGAACAGACTCGTGAGGAAGGAGCGAACGCGACGATCGGCTTGCTTCTTTTTCCGGCTATCACGTCTTTTCCTCCACTGTCTCCTTTTAACTATCTGGATTTCCCCATTGTAGTCACGCTTCTTCCGCACTCTCTTGTGAACATCGCCTCATCGCCCCGTCAATTCGTGTTTGTCGACACGCCTGTGTTCACTCACTCACTTCATTCGACTGCATCGGCGTCATTCACCGCCCATTCAACATCGTCCATACTGGCTTTTTCGCATTCACGCAATTGTGTCCGCGTTTCTTTTACGACGAGGACGTAGTTGGACGTCTTCTTTTTCTCGACACCCGACACTTCCATCTCGACGCGCCCACCGACGCCAGTTTCACGGCCGTGATTATCAACCACTAGCCCCATCTCCTGACACTCATCACTACTCTCGCCTCACCTTTCAACCTCGTCTCAAATGGCCTTGTTGCGGTAAATCGCATCGACGAGCTGCAAAGGTCCTACACATCCGCCTTACCTACCCCGGGCCGCTTGCTTATCTGGGCATCGCTGGCTGGGGCTGCGTTTGATCGTTCATCTTGACTCGACCATCCGAAAATGCCGAGTAAGCGGAAGCGAGATATCCTCGATTTTGATCCGAACAAGTCGGACTCCGAGGACGAGAACTTTGTTCCAGGCGACGACGGCGAGCGTCCGCGCCGCACCAAGAAGAAACAGAAGGCACAGAAGGGGCAACGCACCCCCAACCGACGTCGACAGAACCGCTACCGAGGCTCCGATATCGACGAAGACGACGAGGAGGTTTCTGACGATAGCCTTGGCGAATCCTACGCGTCCGACTCGGACTCGGGCTCGGACGACGACGACGAGCCGGTAACCACGGCCACAGGCCGCCGCGCGCGCAAAGCTGCCGTCAACCACATCAGCTACAAGGAGAGCAGTGAAGACGACGACGACATCTCCGACTCGGATCGTGACGACAAGAAAAAACACGTCTCTCCGGCCAAAAAGGCCCCTGCCCGACCCTCGCGCATTGTCGTGCTCAAGACCAGCCCTAAGAAACTCCGCGAGCGGCTAAGTGCTGCCACCACTGCACCCATGACGCGCCGCACGCGAGCCACCACCGAGGAGGCGGACGACTTTGTGGAGCTGACCAACTCGGGGCGCCACGCCCAGCCGTCGCGTGCATCACGAAGCAAGAGCCCAGAGGCCTATGCGGCCGGGCGGCAGACGCGTCGTGCATCCAAGGGTCTGAAGAAGCCGCCTGCACCGCCTATCGAGGAGGCAACGCAGGAGGACAGCGTCGTGTTCGGCATGAACGATGACGATGATGACGAAGACGACGATGAGCCGCTGGCGGGTCTTGGTGGCAAGGGCGGTGCCGACAAGAACCGCGTGCACAGCCAGCCACCGGATAAGATTGTCGGCGACGTTGAAGCTGCAGAGGAAGACGAGCTGGCCCTTGATGGCGCCTTGCAAGATGAGGATGCCGTTGGCGACGACGACTATGCTGCGCCTGAGGACGCAGACGCTGACATTGAAATGAACGATGACGCTAATGACGAGGAAGCGGATGAGGACGAAGACGACGTGAAGCCGCGCGGACGACGCGTCACACGACTTTCTCGCAACTCCTTGGCGGCTGCGGCTGATGACGGCGAATTGACAGAAGATGTGGCTGCCGATGCAGGCAACGAAGGTGACCAGAACGAGGTTGTTGGTCGGCGCCTGACTCGGGGATCCCGACTGCGCAAGGCAAAGTCTGTCAAGGAGCAGAGCAGCGACTTTGAACCCATCGACGATGACGGATCCGGTGACGGCGGTATGTCGGACAGCGATGCGTCAGAGAAGAACAACACGCGCGCTACGACCGGTGACGACGACTCCAGCCAAAACTCAAGAGGACGGCGCAGGTCGACCCGCCTGAAGTCAAGCGGCAAACGGAGCCGTCACGAATCCGACGACGAGGACGCCGTGGATCGCGACGAGGTCGCCATGGAGGCCGAAGAGCTCCGCAACAGCTCACGTGCCCGGACCCGCCGTAGACGCCGCTCGCCATCCATCGTTTATGAGGAGACATCTCGCCGGCGCACGACTAAAGTTGTCGACTATAGTATCAAGCCGCTGGACCAGTTTCTCGTCGAGCAGGAAGAGGAGGAGGAGGCCGTCCAGACCCCGGCGCGGCGTCGCAATGCTCGAGGTGGCGCCAATGCATCGTTGTGGCAACGGAATCTCATGTCTACCTTTGGTCCCTTTGGTGGCGGCGGTGGTGAAGGCGCTCTCATTGGCGGACCCTGGGGCACGGGTGCTGCTGGTGGTGTTGATTCGGACAGCAGCGACGACGAGATGAACTTCCGCACGGCCAACCCTGGTGGCGCTGTTGGCGGTGCTGTTGGTATGACGCCCACAACTGGAACAGCACCCGCTGGCTTCGCTGCTCCGCTCAACCTTGAGGCAATCACGGGCGTTGCGGCAAATGCCGGAGTTGGCAAGGTTAAGAACCAAAAAGCGCTTGCCGATGCTGACCCTCTTGGCGTGGACCTCAATGTCGACTTCAGCAAAGTCGGTGGTCTGCAGAACCACATCAATCAGCTCAAGGAGATGGTCACGCTGCCCCTTCTCTACCCGGAGCTGTTCCTGCGCTTCAAAGTGACGCCGCCGCGTGGTGTTCTGTTCCACGGTCCTCCTGGCACTGGTAAAACACTTCTTGCCCGCGCTCTGGCCAACTCCGTCGGTGTTGGCGGTCGCAAGATCACGTTCTACATGCGCAAGGGTGCCGATGCACTGAGCAAGTGGGTGGGTGAAGCCGAGAAACAGCTGCGTCTCTTGTTCGAGGAAGCGCGCCGGACACAGCCTAGCATCATCTTCTTTGATGAAATCGACGGTCTCGCGCCTGTTCGCTCAAGCAAGCAGGAGCAGATCCACGCTTCGATCGTATCGACCCTGCTTGCCCTGATGGACGGCATGGACGGCCGTGGCCAGGTCATTGTCATCGGCGCGACCAACCGACCCGACAACATCGACCCGGCTCTGCGTCGTCCTGGCCGTTTCGACCGCGAATTCTATTTCCCGCTGCCCGACCTCGACGGCCGTCGCTCCATCATCGACATCCACACCAAGGATTGGGGCCTGCAGGACAACTTCAAGCGGATGCTGGCGGAGAACACCAAGGGCTACGGCGGTGCCGATCTGCGCGCTCTGTGCACCGAGGCTGCGCTCAACGCCATCCAGCGTACTTACCCCCAGATTTACTCGGCACCGGACAAGCTGATTGTCGACCCAGCGAAGATCAACATCCACGCGACCGACTTCATGCTCTCCATGAACCGCATGATTCCGTCATCGGAGCGGTCGGCGGCCCCTGCTTGGGCCCCGCTCCCCAAGGCGGTTGCACCGCTCCTGTCGGACCAGCTCGACAAGATCAAGAAACTGCTCGACGACGTCATGCCGCGCCGCAAGAAGACGACCGCGCTGGAAGAGGCCATGTACGAGCCGTTCCAGGATGCCGACCACGGCTTTGGCCGCGAGAATATGATCCAAGAGTTTGAGCGGTCACGGACCTTCCGACCTCGGCTGCTGCTCACAGGCACGGGTGGCATGGGCCAGGGCTACCTCGCCGCTGCCGTCCTGCACCATTTCGAGGGCGTGCACATCCAAAGCTTCGATCTGCCGATTCTTCTTGGTGATGGACGGGTACGTTGACTTTTTTTTTGCTCTACTTTCCATCTTGAATTTTGTGTTTTCTTGCGTTCTAACATATGTTTAGCCCCTTGAGCAAGTTATTGTCGGCCTGTTTGTGGAGGTCAAGCGCCACAAACCAGCCGTGCTCTACATCCCCAATGTCGATTCCTGGTACCACAGCCTGCCGGCCTCGGCCTACATGACTTTTGCGACGATGCTCAAGACCATTCCTCCCAACGACCCCATCCTGGTGCTGGGTACGTGCGAGTGCGAGCGTGATGAGATCCCCGAGTCCGTTCTGCGTGACTTCTTCAGCTACTCGTCCAAGAACCGCTTCGCCCTCGAGAAACCAAGCCGGGTAAACCGCCGCACGTACTTCTTCAACTTCTTAAAGCACGCGACCAAGAATCCCAATGATTTCCCCGACCCGGCGAACCGCAAGAAGCGCGTTCTGGAGGAGCTGCCTGTCGCGCCACCACCGCCACCCAAGGTCAAGACGAAGGAGGAACTCAAGGAAGAACTGCGCAAGGATCACCTCCTGCTGAACTTGCTCAAGGTCCAGCTGCAGCCCATCATGGACCAGATCAAAAAATACAAGAAGTTCCGCCAGCCGGTCATCGCCGATACGCAGATCCAGTACCTCTGGCAAGACGCCGACCCCAACTACGTGCAGCCGGACATCCCGACCGACGAGCCGCGGCCCTTTGTCATCTCGCTCGACAGAGACGGCGTCCGCGGTCTACTTGAGAAGGCCACCAACAAGTTCTACTACAATCTGGATCTGTCGACCATTGAGGAGCGTCTTTCCAACGGGTTCTACGCCCGGCCCAAGGACTTTTACCGCGACGTCGTCTCGCTGGCCAAGGATGCGCGCAACATTGGCGACAAGGAGCGTCTTCTCAAGGCCAACGAGCTGTCGACCAATGTGGAGGTGGATGTTGCCGAAGCGGAGGCACGTCTGTCTCAAGTGGACTGGGACGGCCTCTACCAACGGCAGTTGAAGCGGGCCAAGGAAGCCGAAGAAAAAGCTTCGAAGAAGAAGGCTGGCCTGGCCATCTTCGGTGCCGCTGCGAGCAGCCTCGAGGACGAGCCGCTGCCCATCATTGGTTCCGACATTTTCCCCCATAGCGGAGGCGCCGCCGAGCCGGCTGGAGAGCAGCAGCAGCAGCAGCAGCAGGCACAAGCACGCTTCGAGCTGAAGCCCATCGGCACGTCGACGCCACCGTCTTCGAATGGCATCCACCCGCACCTGAGCAATGGCAACTCGATCCCGTCTACGTCCACGTCCAATGTCGAGGATGTTTTGATGACCGGCTCTGACGTGCCTGTACCGCCACAGTGGCCGTGGTCGTCTGCAGTTGCCGCAGGTGGAAACACGCAAGTGTCGCAGGTGTCGGCACTGACAGGCATTCCTGCCGGCATGTCGCCCTCTGCCATTGTCAACGAGGCCTCGACAACCAAGACCTCCGACCCTTCGACCGGCCCGCAGAGCACCCAGGCCACGAACGGCGTGCATACTGGCACCGCCCTGCACGGCAACACCGTCAGCGGCGCTTCAGGCGGTGTCGACGCCGGCGATGGCTCCCAGATCCCCGACACGCAGTCTGTTTTTGGGTCGCTGCCGAGCCAGGCCACATCGAGCAACGAGTGGGTGCACTCGCAGATGCACGCCTTGGTCAAGGGCGAGTTTGACGGCAGCAAGTCGGGCCAGGGCGCCGGCGGCGGCG